CTGGCCTTCAACTTGTAGCAATCTTTTTGCCTGAGCCTCCCAAGTTCTGAGATTATAGGCATATGCTGCAGTGCCTAGCTTAGAAGTTTTATCGTTCTAGAAGGACCTAGATGACAACCTGAAAAGCTCTGAGTGATTAATTCTGGAATGACTTCAAGTAATAAGTAATGTATCGAATTGTAACCCAAAGAATAAAATAAGTATCCATCGGTCCATACAGTTATTAAAAAAACTTCTGAATAAGGGATTTATTTCAAAATAGAAATTATAAATTTTAGTATCAAAAATGGCCAGAAGATTTGGGTATCTAAACCACAAAATACATGAATGGCAAATAAGTACATGAAAGGATAGTGAGCTTCATTAGTTATTAGGAATGTGCAAATTAAAACCATAGATATCACTGCACACTTACAAACCATGATTAAAATGAACATCACTGACAGTGTCAAATAGTGCCAAGGCTGCAGAAGAGCTAGAATTTACTTGTACTTCAGGTGGCAGTATAAAATACTCCAACCATTCTGGAAAACAGCCTGGTGTTTCTTAGAAATCTTAACCTACACCTACCATATGATCCAGCCATTGCACTCATAGGTGTTTACCCAAAGGAGAAGAAATTTACATGTTCATGGAAAGACATAAATAATTGTTCATTGTAGTTTTATTTGTAATTAACACCAAACAGATGAATGAATAATCAAATTGTTGTATGACCAGTGAGTTCACCAAAAGTGAACTATTCACAGTTGCAGCTTCATGGATGAATCTCAGAATAATTTTGCAGGGTGAAAAAAATATAACATGATTCTATTTCTTTAACATTCTAGAAAATGAATCATTTTATAGCAGCAGCAAATCAGTGATTGCCTTGGGATGAGTGGAGTGGGTTACAAAGGGGAACATGAGATGGCTGGCTGTGTTATCTGTTCATACTATTAGACTCACAAATTTAACCCATGTTAAAATTCAACAAATTGTACTTTTTAAATACATTGGTATCTCAGTTCACGAACTTAATTCTTTCTGCAATTTTAATTGCAAACCAAAGTAGATAAGAACTGAACCAAATTTCCCCATGAGGTCAGCATTAAACCTAACCATGAGTCTGATTTGGTTCTTGTTCAATTTGTTTTGTGACCACAATCATGCAAAGAATCAAGTTTGTGAACTGAGGTACCCACTATATGTGTAGCTTATTCAATGGGGGCAGAGGGTTCACTCCAGGAGTTTAGCCTGAATAACCAAGAGTTAATGGGTAGAGTTATCATTAGTTGAAGGGAAGGCTTACTGAGGTAAATGCTAAAATTAATATATTGCTTTTTAATTAAACAAGATTCTGAGTCAAAATCGAAACAAATGAAAGCATGATTCAAACTGGTAGTATGGGAATGTTAACAGAATTTGGATGTAGGAGAGGTTATGTTTCAGTGATTCTGTGTTTGGAGAACTAGGTGAAAATTTGGAAGACTTCTTCAATAACTGAAATCTGTGGTTAAAATACTGTTTGTTTGACTTAAGACCTAATTTCTAAATGTGCCTCATTGCTGATTTCCAAGCCTTGGGTACATGTGAGAATCATTCATGGAGATTTCTTTCCTTTCTCTTAACTTTTTTTTTCAAGTATACAAACTATATCACTCTAGAAATTCTGGCACCATTGATTAAACATGGGGGACCTATATATTTTAACATTCCTCAGCTAATTTATCATGTACTCTTGTGGAGAACCTGTAGCATTAAGTGACCTGGAAGTTGCTATAAATGTCAATCTCAAACTGTATCCAGACCTAACAAATCAGAGTATATATTATAATAAGATTCCAGGGTGATTTATATATACACTGTACTTGAGGGAGCACTGTCTAGACTTAATGAATGTCTGGCAGTGCTCTAGAACTAGGAGTATAGTTCTCAGAATATGATTTTTGTGCCACAAAAATGCATATTACAGAGCACCACCCTTGGTCTTCCCAATAGGACATTCTGGGGTTGAGGCCTGGTATTGTGTGGTTTTATTAGTCCTGCAGGTTCTTCTGTGCATGATTCAGTTGAGAAGTCTACATTAGTCATTTCTGGTATAGTTTGGATTTGGAACCACTGAACTGAAATTGATTCTACAAGTCTTCATTAAAATAGATACTCTTAAAGTAGCAGTGTTGTTCATTACTTTTAAACTTTAGAAGAAATTCTGTGGACATATATAGCAAAAGAAAGTATATATGGCAAAAAAATTGATGTTATATCAATCCTTTTTTCTAAATGGTACATTCTAGTTCAGAAAGGGTAAAGTAACTAGTCTTAAAGCAGTCAGCTAGCAAGCAAGTTGTATAACAAGAACTTAAACTTCACTGACTTTTGTATATCACCATGTTTCAGTTTGATGCTGTTTTGTGTGTTAACTTGCCTACTTATCTCAGGCATGTGGGAATGTGGTTGTATTACATTCCTTGGGCCCAAGAACAAGCTTGAAAGTGCAGTCATCGACTGAAATTATTATTAGTCATCTTCTACCTCATCCCATTTATTCCTTCTTTAGACTTGTGTCTGAACATGTTTATATGTTTGACCTTGGCTCTAATTAGGTATTCTTTGGTTTAAGTTGAAACTGCAAAAATACACTTGATTTGAATAGTGCAGACATACCGAATTTTAATGTCACTTTTTTAACTTGCAAAGTTGGCCTGTTGATGACTTGAGATTTAGGATCGAATCCAAAACAGTGGAGACTATGAAATATTTCACATATTTTGTTTGCTACTTTCTTCCACAAAGCATTTGTGGTAATTAAAGGTTATGTTAAGTGAATTGCTTTTCCTCATCTACCATTTCTTAAATTTTGATCTAAATTAGCCTTTGATGGATTCATTAGGTTGATAGCCTTTTAAAAAATAAAAAACTAGTAATATATTCCTACCAGCTGATCAAAGGGTCATATTTAAGAATGGTTTTGTTTTGAAATAATGACTTTCTGGAGTAGTTGTTGTTTTCTGAGTTTAATTGAACTCATAGTGGCATTTTTAGATAATGTGTGATAAGAGCATTAGGAAACAGAGTCAAAATGGTTTTATTTACTTTTATACAAACTAAATTGCCCTTATGTGACCCAGCATAAAATCTCAGTGCTAACAGAAGTTATTTATTTTGACAACAGAATTAATTGAGTATAAAACAGTTGAAATTCCAGTTGTAGCAAACTGTTCATTAAGACTCACTTTGGCTTTAGTACTGTCAAAAAAATAACTTGTTTTAGCAGAACAATGGGCAGTAGACTTCATTTGAAGGAGATTGCTGAATAAACTTTCCACTTGTGTAACAGTTCAAAAGTGACATGCTACAAGGGAGGTCAGACTATGCATTGATATCCAGCTGAGCTGTCAGCTGGCCCTGCGCCAGGCACGCAAAGCTTTGCCATGTGAAGGAGCATGTGGAGCATATACCACTGGAGAAAGAAAGTCTCCTATGTGCATGATTTAAAATTTGTTTTGTTTTGTTTTATTTTTTAAGAAGAAGTATATTTGGTTTCATTATACTAGAAACATGTTATTTTTGTCTTTAATAGAAAAATCTATGTAGGTGGTACTCAATTTTAGATACATTTTATGATTTGAAAGAATTTGGCATTTTATTTTATTTTATTTTATTTTGTCTTTTTCCTTTTTATCGGTACCGGGGATCGAACTCACGACTGCCTGCTTGCAAGGCAGGCGCTTGTGCCACTGAGCTAAATCCCCAGCCCGGCATTTTATTTTTTAAAAAGTTTTTATTTGTAGTATTTTCATTGCCCATTACTATCCCAAACAGATTTTAAGAAGATGTTTAGAAAAGATAAAGGAAAATTAATCAAGACAATCCCTACACAGGAAAGGTTTCTGAAGAAAACTTTAAACTTTTGTTTGAAGGTATTAATTCTGTAGTTAAGGAATCCCTTTACTCTTTTCATATAAATTAAATCACCCAAAAATCTTTAAATGTTTTTCTCTTTGTATTTGTTAAGATGATGTTGTAAAAGCCCTTCTAGTTTAAAAATTTAAAAAATTGTATCTTTTATAATTTGCTTGCCATTGGTGTGTTTTTATTTTTATGTATTTTTGCTCTCTAAATTATGCCCATAGCCTAGAGATTCTGAAAATAGCTACTGGTACAAAATGTGCTATGCAGCAGTAGGAAAATTTTGACTAACCACATTTTTGGTTGCCTTTTTTTTGGGTAAACTCAAATTTTTATGCTTTATTGTTGTTTAGAAAAACCCAGTAGTACATAATAAGCTGCTGGTAATTTATGTTAGTGACTTTTCATTCTTCATAATCTTAAGATCAAGCAAAAAGTTGCTTACTATGAGATGCACATAATTAAATTCTTTACCCTGATTGATCTGTCTATTCCCATCTCATTGTAAATTGTTACAGACCTCTTATAAAAGAGCCTTAAGAAAAAGCTCCAAGGCCTTTAATTAAATGATTTCTCAGAATGGACTTGAATAAACTTTTAATTGTATTCTTTCTGACCCTTTAAAACTTTTTGAGGTAGAAGTGATAAATGTATTTTTTTTTCTTAGTCATTGGTAGTCTGAGGCCCCAACCTTATATTCTAATAATGTTTACTATCTTGGTATCCTCATTGTCCAACGAGCACAACCAAGGATTTAGCAGCTACCCCTTTACTGTGCTTTTTAAAAACTGCACTGCAAAGTCCTTGAAAGGAGAAACTACATGTTATGTCTGTCTCTTCTGTGGTATCACATATAGAAGATGTTCAGTAAATGACTGAGATCAAAATAAGACTATTCCCAGTTTTTTTTTTCTTTTTTTGGATTTTTTAAAAACTTATTTACTTTTTAAAAACTTAGTTTAATTAACTATCTGATAACAGTGGAACATATTACAGAATCATTAAAAAGATGTATTGGATGTTAAATTTTAAAAGTCAGTAGAAGTATAGTATAATGAACTTATTTGATAATTGTTTTCTACTAGGAGTTGTTTTTTTTCCCCTTTCAGGCCTTATTGAATTTGAAGAATGTGACCCTGCAAGTGCAGTTGAAGGTAAGTTAACTACTTACAATGTATCACATGTGGTGCCTAGCTTGCTGTGTTGTGTGTTGAACAAATAAAAAGGGCTTGCCATCCACAGGTGTCAGCCTGTCTGTGGAGTAACATAAAAATCTGAAAATGGGGTCTGAAGGCCTGTAACTGCCAATTGTTATTTAAACAACAGATTGCCAAAAGAAATACAAGTGTGTTAAAATACATATTTTATGAGGATCCTTAGGCCTCATGCATCTTAGGGAAGCACATTGTGCTACTGAGCCATACCCTAGCTCAAAATAAATATATTTTAAAAGGTGAAATGTAGTCTTTTTTTTTTCAAATATATATTCAGATTTTGTTTTTCATTGAGCTCTAGCCTTAAATTTTCTAATGTCATGAATTGTGAAAACCATCACTACACAGTAATGTGAAGTGCTTACTCCACAGTGGGCATTGATTAATGAGGTTGTGAATTTACTATTAAATTATCACCATTCAGAATGGATGATAAATAGACTTGGAGGACAAGTCTGCAACCTGTTTAGGTATTTTTCATAGAATGAGATCTGGACGATGCCTTCTGTTATTGTTCATATTTTTTATGTCTCACTTGGTGAGCTAATAGAAATAATTTGAAATCAGTGATCTTTTTCCAATCTCTTTTAAGAATTTAAGGGCTGGGGATTTAGCTCAGCAGCATAAGAGCCTGCCTTGCAAGTGCACAGATGTGAGTACGATCCTTGGTACCGATAAAAAAAAAAGGGTTTGAAAAAATGACTTATTACAGTTTGTAAATTAATTACAGTATTGAAGTTATCAGTAAGGGGACATGCATAGTGGTGCAATCCTGTAATCCCAGCACCCAGGAGGCTGAGAAAGGAAGCTCATAGCACCTTCAAGTTAGCCTCGGCTACAAAGTGAGCCCAAGGCCAGTCTGAACTGCAAAGTGAGACCCTGTCTCGAAAAGACAAAAAAAAAAAAAAAAAATTGTTATCAGTAGGCCTGGAACCTAGGCTTCTTGCTCTCAGTAGCTGTTTGACTAGGAGCAGTAATTATTTAAATTGTCTCAGTGTAACTTTTCATCCTAAAGTGAGAATAATAAAAAAAGATCTGCATCGTGGTGGCACACCTGTATAATCCTAGCACTTGGGGAAGCTGAGGCAAGAGAATTCGAAGTTCAAGCTCAACCTGGACAACTTAGCAATTTAGACCCTGTGTTGAAAAAAAGACTAGAAACATTACTTGGTACGAAGGCCCAGACTCAAGACAGTTCTGAGCACTGCCATTAAAAAAAAAAAGTAGTTAATTTTTAAAGTACCACAATATGGTGTGCAAATATGTAGCTGATAGCAAGTTCATTACTATATGACAGCTAGATTCTTGTTCTTGTTGAGTGAGGGAACAAAAACAATGCCTTTGAATTTCATCATATGTAAGTAGTGAAAGTGACTCACGATGTCTTACTGCTCACTTCTCAAAGAAGCTAATAAAGTTTCAGTGTTGAATTCCATCATTACTAAAAGGATGACTTTCAAGCACAACTTACTATGTAGGAAGAGGAAGAACAAAGATGATTTTCCTTCTCAGATATGGTGGGTTCCATTTCTAACATTATTCTAGGGATAACATGTGAAAGCAAAGAAGGATGTGTGGTAAATTTTCATGTTGAACTTCTAATAGGTCAGCAAGGTCATCTTTTAAACAGTTTAAATTTTGTGACCCTATAGACAGGCAACATACTTTGACCTACATGTATAACAAAATCTAATATAATGAGTGGTTAGTTTCTTTGAAAACTTAGAAGCTTTACATATGATGTTTTTACCTAAGGTAAATTAGGAGAGAAAAAGTAATTTCATTAAATTAGTGGTGTGTAATCTTTTGGTGAATAATACACTGTATTGCTTATGTTAACGTAAATCTTTGCTACTATAACTGTGATTTAAAAATTAGAGTTAGAGGTCGACACTTTTATTTCTTTTCATCCAAATCTAGCATCAACCATTATGAACAAACCATCTCTAAATAAAAGTATTCCTAAGGATAATATATTCATGAACAGCAATTATATTTTTGTAACACTATACATTTATTTTAAAGGTATAAAGCCAAGGAAAAGGAAGACTTTTGCTTTGCCAGGAATAATTAAAAGGGAAAAGGATGCAGAATCTGTGTAAGTATTCCAAATATTGTTAGCATTATTTTCAGTGTTGCAAGTGATTAAGAACAAAACTGCTAGTTTGAATTAAATTAAACCTTTTGGAAATAATTCAAACTTTAAAAACTTAAAAGTGAAGAGCAAATTAAACTGTATCAGTCTTATTACTAAGAGAATACTTTCAGTCACTTATTTGAAGAAAATCCTTCTAGACTGTTCTTTTTATGTGTCTTGATAATAGGGACTAAACTCAGGACCTTCCCAATGAGTTACATCCCCAACCGTTTATTTCCTTATTTAGAGACAAGATCTTCCTAAGTTACCAGGGTGGGCTCAAACTTGCCATTCTCTAGCCTCAATCTTCCGGAATGCTGGGTTCACAGGTCTGCCACCACACCTGGCTCAAGTCTTGAGGTAGCTGGAATATTAAAATAAGTACACATGCCAGCCAAGCCATAGCTCAGACCAATTAAACCAGATTCCCTGGGTGTGAAACTGCAACAGTTTTTGTTCAGTGTACTGTGTGATTCCTAATATATGTTTATGATTGAGAAACGTCAAACTGTGATTAATCAGTGACAAACTTGAAGCAAAAGAATCTTTTTCACCATAATTTTATTACTAAGTTTAGATTGAGAATCTTAAGTGATTTGTTCATCCAGGAAGTGTTTGAAAATTAGTTTAAAATTGTTACTTTAGCATAGTCAGTGGAACTCTTACGAGGTTTGATACTTTGATGAGTGCTCATATTTTCCAACATCAGAGAAAAATGTGCCATAAGAATTGTTGACTCCTACCTGCTTATATTTGTGTAATCTGAATTTCTCAGCTTTTTTTTTCTTTCCTGTTTTGTCTCTTCTTTCTAAAATATTGTTTGGTTACCCAAGTAAGACTAATTGCAAAGAGATCTACTATGTCTATGGACACCATCTTTTCTGATATCTTTCTTTAGCACTTATGAAGGGATACTTTGCTAAAAGAACATGATCTAATTTATTTTTACAATTATGGAAATACACACTGAAGCCAACCAATTGATTTATAAGTAAAATTTTAACATGTAAACAATTTAGCCAGGTAGGCACATGCTGGTAATCCCAGCCCTCTGAAAGCTGAGACAGGAGGATTGCTGTGAATTCAAGGCCAGCTTGGGCTATATAGTGAGTTCAGGGCCAACCTGAGCTACATGCAAGACCCCGTCTCAAAGGAAAAAAAGTTTTCAATTTATCTGTTCATTTTTTTGGAGGGGTGGTGGGTGAAGCGAATTGGGGATTGACTCCACAGCCTTCCTAGCCCTTTTTATTTTGAGACAGGGTCTTGCAAAGCTGCCTAGGCTGACCTTGAACTTGCAACCCACCTGTCTCAGCTTCCCAAATAGTGGAATATTTTTTGCCATTGAGAATATAACAGTCAAAAGCCAACACTTAAATTGTTGTACTGTCATAATCTTCTTTAAAACTTTTTATCAGGAAAAATGTCAGAATTCACTTTGCATGAAATTCCAGTGGTTTTTGGCATGCTTTATTTATCAGGTTCAGATTCTAGAGACTTTTGGTGGGGGAGGGGTACTGAGAATTAAACTCAGGACCTTGCACTTGCCAGACAGGCACTTGTGTCACAACAGTATCTCTGGCCCCCTAAGTTGCCAGCAATTGTGGAAGATGGGTCCTGCTCAGATCTTGTTCTTGGGGCTTAATCTCTGCAGGTCACTGTGAAGACAAATAGATGAGTGCTTTACCACATAACAAGTGTCTGCCTCAAAGCCACAGGCTTTTAAACATAAAAAGAAATATAAAGTGTTAAAGCTGCCTCTTTGGGGGAAGGTGCTAGAGATTGAGAGATTGAACCCATGAGCTTTGTCTTAAATTTAGTCCATTAAAAAAGTTTCTTTTTTGAACCAGGATCTCACTAAGTTGCCCAAGATGGACTTGAATTTGAGATTCTCCTGCATTAGTTTCCGAGAGTATTCAGATTAGCAGTATGTGCCACTCTGCCTGATTAAACTGTCTTTTTAAAAAGAGAAAGTACGAAAGTTCTAAGTTTGATCAAATTAATTTTCTAGGATTTAATTCATTATTGTGTTATTTCTGGAATATTTCTTCAAAGCCAACACAGATTTTTCTCCCATATATAGTATTCCCCATCTATCAATAAGGAAACTGCATTTCAAAATCAGTTGTTTTTAAAATGACTCCTCCTCTTTTTTATGGAGACAGTGTTTGCTTGTGTTACATTTCTGAGTAGGGTCTCAAATTCCTTGGCTCAATCAATCTCCATACCCCAGCCTTCTGAGAAGTTGGAATTTTAAGGCGTATGCCACTGTGCCTGGCTTTTTAAAACTAACTTATAAATTCATATAAACTTAAGTGGCATTTTTATTTATCTTGTCTCTTTGATACTTTAGTTTGTATTAAGAGTATTGTAGTCATCTTGGTTTTTCAATTTTAAATCTTTAACAAAACAATTCGTAAGTTTCTCTGTTTTGTGCTTTGTGTTTGGGCAGATAGTGATTACCTGTTTCTATAGTATTCTGATAGTCTATGCATTAATTGTCTCAAGTGAGAGATCCAAATACCTTTTAGATCTGCACTCTTAATTTTTGAGTTTCTGATCGTATAACCGTATTTCTTGTGACCTCAGTGGCCTTAATTTTACGTGTTTTGGTCTTTGTGTTTTAGTTGTACATTTAAAATAATGGTTTTACTAGCTTATGTACAAAACCAATCAAGAATAGAATTCAAGTTCACAACTGCATTTTATATTTAACTAGAAAGTGTTCCAACTATAAGTCTACTCATTCGTTAGGAGAAAACTAGTTTTGACTTTAAGTTATAAAAAGGATTTTGCCGGAACTGAGATGCCATAAAATTTTTAAGTAAAAAATTAGTATACCAATTAGTATAAATTTACCCACTGTTACTGGATAAATTTTTAAGACTGTCACTTTAAATATAGCTTTCATTCTTTAAAGTCAAGCTTTCTTCTTAAGGAAATCTTTTTAAAGTAAACTTTCTTTACGTAATGAGGAAAAAGCCACTGGAAAGTCTTAAGAGAACTGACAGGTTCCTTGATAAGATGTACAAGTACTATATTTATGGAAGAGAAGTAATTTTGAAAATAGTTCTTAGAATACTTGCAAGCTATGTTTTGTTTTGTCAGGTATTAATGGGTATAGGATCATGATTTGGTATAGTCTAATCTTTATGATTTGATTTCTCTAAGTAATTTTAGACTTTAAATAAAAGTTGTATTTAAATAGTAAGGTAAATACTTTAAAGGTGATGTAATTAGCCGACAGTTTCAATACTCAGATGTTCCTGATAATTTCTTTGTTTTTTATAGGGAGTGCCCTGATGCAGATTCAATTGTAAGTAGAGTTAACTTTGATACAATCAATTTAAGTTAGCTTTTTTCATTGGAAAAAAACTTAGCATATCTGTTAAGCAGCCATTAAAAGACAAATGCTAATGTTATTGTAAATTCACTATTAAAATTATTTCAAAGATGTATTTTGGTTTTACACTGTTGGATGTTTTCTTGTTAACTAGTATTTCTAACTACCTTTGGAGAGGTGACATTTTACTTTTAAAATTAGAATGACGCCATATCAGTGTGTTCTTTCTTGGGAAACATGCCAGATAATAAATCTGCATATTTCATTTTAAAGTTTCATATGTTTATTATTTAACCTTAGCCCTATTAAAATTCAGGCTTATCTGTTCTTGCATTTGAATTTTTATTTGAGGTTCTCATTTTATAAATAATAGCAAGAGTGACCATGCTCAGTATTTTTGTGTTTTAAATGAGATTTGTTCATTGTTCTTAGTTAAATTATTTCTTTATATATAATTAAAGAAGATACAAAATGGAGCTCCTGGGGAGAGGTGCAGCTGAAGAGTAGATTTATCACATACTGTAAATAATGTATGAACAGCATATTTTCAAACTCTTCATAAGACATGGCTTGTATTTAATTGTAAGAATTTCAGATACTCTGCCTCTTGCTTATTATTTTTGCTTGCATAACTGCTGTTTGGCATAAAACATTTTGACCTTTTGCAATATAGTGGTATGCCAAAATAAAGAATTAAAAATATTTTGTGAAACATTGTTTTATGTAAATTAGGCTACAGTAGTGTTTTTGTTTTGTATTTTAATATTTTTGTTTTTGTAGGGAGAGGAGGGAGGATACTGGGGACTGAATCCAGGGAGCACTGAGCTACAACCCAAGCTGTTTTTTATTTCGTTTTGAGAAATAAGTACAACATGGAATGAAAGCCTTTATTACTTGATGTTTTACATATTTTCTTTTATATATGCTTCCTTAAAACATTTTAGTTCCTTCAGCTTATTGATGATATTCCATAGTGATCAATTTTTATGAAGTTTTGAACTGTAGACAGTATTTATCTGAGTAGAAAATGGTTAAACACAATATATCATTTTCTTATACACACATGAGAAAAACTACATCATGAAAGGACATAATAAAATACACCATGCAATTTTGTGGGGTAGTGGTTTGCGACAGAGTTTTACTATGTAGGTGTACTCTAGGCTGGCCTTGAACTTACTTTGTACCTCAAGCTGGCAACAAAGTCAGCTGTCTCCTGCCTCGAGCCATCTGAGTGCTGGATTATGGGAATGCACCACCCGCCATGTAATTTTGTTATTAAACAAAAGAGACTTTGAATCATCGAAGACAAACTTTTCAAGACATCTAACAAAGGACTACTTTTATTTAAAAGTTTTTCATACAAATATGTCTAATAGGAAAAAGAATTAAAAACAGGCAGTTTATTTCTATTCTTAGAAATAAAAATGGTAAATAACCATAATAAATATTACTGAAAACTGATACAAATTAAAATGACACTACTGTAGTCATACTGTCAATTTTGATATCTCATAGTTTTTATATAATATAAATCAATATAATGTTTTGTAGGTAATTGCCTGTATCACCTCAAATAAATACACATTCCTTTTGACTTGTAATCTGCTAGGAATTTACTGTTATGGATGTATTCACAGTACATCATACTTTACAGCATCTACACAGATATGAATGTTTTTTGACTTTATAATCTCTTGTGAGGAGTTTACTGTTATAAATGTATTCACAATACATCATCTCTATAGCATTTATACTAATATACACTGTTGGTCAAGATATGTATGTAAGAGAAAAGGGAGAGACACCAAAAGCATCCATGAAAATGATAACTGGTTAAATTTTTAAATACTCACTTGATGAGATAATAGATACTATAAATAGGTTGATCTGTTTGCTGAACTTCCTAGCTAAAAGGAGACACAGACCTTTTAAATGCTGTTTTAAACATAAATATAAATATGTATGTATGTGTTTTTTTAAATTGTTAATTGTGGTTATCTTTGGACAGAGGTTATAATGAATAGCAGGGAAAGGACTTTTATTTTTTATTTTCCTTTATTTATGGCCAATTATTATTTATTAGCTGATTATGGCCTTATTTTTTAAAGTATCAGGAGAGAAACTATTGCTCATTTCCTCATTTTATCTTATTTTTTTAAAGATCTATGCATTTAAAAATGTTAATTGGAAGGGTGACATTTTGTGAAGGAATAGGACCAAGGAAATAGGAATTGCCTTTTTTTTGGCCAATATCCCCAATTCCAAACAGAGAGTATGAGACATATCACTGACTCTTGAGCTTCCTGATAGGAACTTTAAAAAGTCAACACCACAGCTGCTTTTGAAAATCAGTAGGTGAAGGTGCCTGTGCTGTTCTTTATTCCACTTTTTGATTCATATCAGTAGTGTGGGCTGTATGCAAGGTCAAGTGTAAGAATAATGATACATATAAGAACATATGGAAAAGTTTCTGTGAGTAGTTCTAGCATAGAAAAGTAAGTACATTTAGAATCACTGCTGTAAGAATATTTTATTTGGGAATCATTACAGATTAACAAAAGATTGCAATGATATTATAGAATAATACTACGTACATGTCATTCCTTTCTCCTGATAGTGTAGTTTGACAACTACAATATTGCGAAACTGTAGTTTGACAACTACAATATTGATACAATTCAGTCCAAACAACATTTTCTTTACCAGAAGGATCATATAATACCATTTTGGGATTTCCTTTTTTTCACTTCACACAGTTCTCTGAATATTCATCTAAGTTGTTTTATACAGTACGTAGAGAGTTCATTCTTTTGTTGCTGAGTAGTATTCCCTGTAATGGATGTATGAGGGTTTGTTTAACCATTCACTTACTACAGGGTACTTTCGTCATTTCCAGTTTTGGGCTGTTAGAAGTAAAGTGGCTCTGAACACAGGTTTTTGTGTGGAAGTTGTCTCTGCCCTGTTAATTTTCTTTCTGAATCTACATTAATACTAAGATAGCCACTTCTACCTGTTTAGTGTTGTTATTAATGTATATTTTTCCATCTCATCTTTAAGTCTACCTATATCATCATATTTGAAGTGATTTTATTATAGACAGCCTATAGTTGGGTCATATGTTTTATTCATTCTGTTAGTCTCAATATTTAATACTATGATTAATTTTAGTTGTTAATAATTGTAATTTTATTTAAAATTATATTTTAAAATCAATGTAATCATGCATATGTATAGAACATAGTGTGACATCTCACACATGTTTATAATGTAATGATCAGATAAGGGTAATTGACGTTTTCATCACCTTAAAATCATTTCTTTACCTTCAACGTATAAGTGAGAACATGTATTAATTGGTATTTCTATGCTTGAAATACTTTACTTACCATGTCTCCAAGTTTGTCCATACTATTAGAAATGACAGAAGTTCATTCCCTTTTTGTAGCTGAATAATACTCCTTTTTTTTTTTTAATCATTGTATCTGTTGATGAACATCTAGGCTGTCACTATAAATAATACTGTAATAAACATCAGAGTCCAACTGCCTGGCCATTCTAACTGGGATGATATGATACTTCATTATGGTTTTGATTTGTGTTTCCTTGATATTTATAGTTTTTCTTATATTGGTTGACAATTTTATTTTTGATTCTTTGCTGTTGAATTATTATAAAGTCCTTTACATATTCTGGATATGAATCCCTTTTTGGGTGAATAGTTTATAAATATTTTCTCCCATTCTGTAGGTTGTCTCTGAATTTTGTTTCTTGTTTCTTTTATTTTGCAGAAGCTTTTTAGTTACATATTGGAACCATTTATATTTAATGCTGTCAAGGTTTAAGTCTGGCATTTTATTTTTTTCTTTGACCCCACCCCCGCACCTTAACATTTTTGTTTCATTTTCTTGCTTCCTATAGATTGAATGTTTTTTAGACTTCCACTTTTATTTGTTTATGGAGTTTTGGACACCACTTTGTGGAGCTCTTTGAGTGGTTGGTCTAAGTCAGTCTCCAGTACTTTCAGATAATTGTTTATATAGTTTGGCTGGGTATTATAGTTATAATTAGCAATATATATATATATATATATCACATATATTCCTAAAATGTAATCATATTACCACTCCTTCATATTTTCAGGTAACCTTTCAGTGTTTATACTGGTCATTATCTCTGTTTCTGTTTATTTATTGAAGATACTGAATGGTTTGTTTTGTGGCTTACTTTAGTCAGGGTTTTGCTGATTGCATAGTGTATTGTTCTATGTCTCCATATTATAGAAAATGGCATTTGAATCTAGAGACTTTGATTCAGTTTCAAGTTCTGTTTATATTTTTAACAGAGTCTTTTCTAAGGAGACACAATAGATGTTTGTTGAGATGTGGGCAGATACTGATGCACTGTCTTAGATAGCTCATCTAGACTTTAAAAAGACACTGCCCCTTTTATATCTGTATAGTTCTTATAGCTGTGAGAATATTTATCCTGATACTTTACAATCGCATATTGTCTGATTCACATTAGAATCTATAGATTTTGAGCACTCTTGAGTTGGTCTTCATCTTGGCAATTTTGCCCTGAAATGATGATTATGTTTTCCTGTTTCATTTTGCAGCTTTTTCTTCAGACTCCAAAGCATGGAGAATGATTTGAAGCTAATTAAATAAAAAGATACAATTTTCCATAGTGCTAACAATTTTAACATGTTGGTACTTGATAAATAATTTGGTTCTTCAGTAATAGTTAAGGCTGTTTTGCTAATCTATAATAGTTTTGTATCTTGGAATTATCATTACAGTAATTTTTTTTCTTTTTTCCTATAGAACATTCCTGATGTGGATGAAGAAGGTTATAGTATTAAACCAGAAGCAAATCAGAATGATATCCTTTTGTTGTATGTGTATTTTTAGGGATTGCATTAACATGTAGGTAGATAGTTAAAACACAGTGTTACTTAAAACCTCTTCAAATTTAACTGCCTAGAGTTAAAATGTGACTGTTTTCATTGGACAAAGTTTTATTAATAAAAATGGTTTATTTCTTAATCTGCTTTACCTTTAAAGGTTTTTTTCCTTCTTATAAATGTGTGGAAAACTGATTATATACTAAGATATTAAGGCTAAATTCTTTAACTGATGATTCACATACCAAAGAGAACCATTTCTACTCATCTACTGATTCTGATTCTGAAGATGAAGAACCAAAGAAGATTCGGATAGAAATCAAGCCTATGCTTCCAAACAACTCACATCACACAATGGCTTCTTTGGATGAATTAAAAGTATCTATAGGAAATATAACACTCTCTCCAGCAATATCTGTAAGTAAGAGCATGAACAAATTTATACTCTTTTATTTATGTCCTTTTCTTCCAACTGGTTACTTGCAAGACTAATAAAAAGTAAAGTACCACTTAGCACATTGGGTGAGAAAAATATTTCATAAGTGTATATAAAAATGTTTCCTGTTGGTGTATGTTTGCATTCATTGTAGTCATAAATACATGTGTACTTGTACTTGTGACTACAGTGATTATATTCGTAAGTACATGTGTATAACACATCTTAATTCCTTTTATCCCCTTTCCTTCTTTTTCCTTCCATCTCAAGCTCTCCCTTTTTTACCAAAGATTTATCTTGATTTCCTGTTGTCTGTCTTTTCTTTTGCTAGTTTATGTATTTGATTTACTTAACAATATGATCTTAAGGTGTGTCCATTTTCCTTACAGACAATTCAGATTTGTCCTCTATGGTATACTGGTACCCTGTTGTATATGAACACCACATTTTCTTTATCATCTGTTGATGGATATACACTGCTTCCAAGATTTACCTATTAGAAGTTGTGTAGCTGCAAACTGGAATAGATAAATCACTATATTATAATGTCCTTAATTCTTTAAGGAAGATACTTAGAAGGGGAATAGATAGATTGAATGGAATTTCTGTTTTTGGTTTTTTGAGGATTATTCATTGTGATTTTCATAGTGGTTGGACTAGTTCACATTTCCACCAACAATGTAGAAGGGTGCCCTTTTTTGCCCTGCAGTCTTTTCAGTATTTATTGTTGTTTGTTTTCTTGATGACGTCCATTCTTTCTCGATTAAGGTGACATCTCGGTGTTATTTTAATTTGCATTTCTCTGACTAGAGATGTTAGACATATTTTCATGTATTAATTAGCCTTTTCTACTTTTTCGGAAGTTCATTTCAGCTGCCGATTTTAATTGGAGTTTTTATTCTGGGAGGTCTACTTCTTTTGAGTTCTTTATATATTCTATATATTAGTCCTCTGAGGAATAGCTGGCAAAACTTTTTCCCATTGTGTAGGTTGTCTTTTCACTATGTTGGTTGTTTCCTTTGCTGTGCAGAAATTTTTTTTGATTTGGTATAATCAGTTATTTCCTATGTAATTGGGGATTTGTTTAGAAAGTCTTTACCTATGCCTGTGGCTTTAAGTGTTTCACTTATTTTATATACCAAAAGATTTTTATATTTTAATATCTAGGTCTTTTATCCATTGTGATTTTATTTTTGTGCATGATAGTAGACATGGCAGTAGATTTTGTGCATGGCAGTCTTCTGCATGTGTGTGACCAGTTTTTCCACTACCCTTTGTTAAAAATGCTTTCTTTCAGTGTATGCTTTTGGCTTGTCAAAATTGAGATGATTGAATGTACCTTGAGTTATTTCTGTATCATAGTTTCTTTTCTTTTGATCTGCATGTCTTGTTTTTGTGTTAGTACCATGCTGTATCATTGTAGTTTTGTAATGTGGATTGAAATCTGGACTTGTATTGCCTTTTGCCTTGTTTTTGTTGCTGAGGATTGCTTCTACTATTCTGGGTTTCTTCTGGTTTCATACACATTTTACGATTGTTTTCTCTAGTTCTGTGAGGAATGCTACTGGCATTTTGATTGAGAGTATATTAATTCTATATTGTTAGTGTTTTGACAATACTGGTTTTACCCATCTGGGACCACAGAATATAGTTCAATTTTCTGGTGTCATTCTCTGTCTTTTTCTGACCACTATACTTTTTGTTATAAAGATCTTTCGCTTCTTTGGTTAATTTCTAAATATTTAATTTTTTTAATGTTACTGTGAATGACACTGTTTTCCTAATTTCTTTCTCAGTGAGTTCATTATTCATGTATAGGAATGCTGTTTTTATTTCCCACTGTATTGCTAAATTTGTTCTTTAATTTTAAGTGTCATTTGTGGAATTTTTTGTCTTCTCTGTAAAGGATTATGCTTCCTGAAAATAATGATAGTTTAATTGTTTCCTTTCCTATACATATCCCTTTTATTTCTTTCTCTTGCCTGATTGCTCTGGCTGATGTTTTGACTACTATATTGAACAGGAATGATGACAGTGGATCTTCTTGTTGTCTTAGTTACTTTTCTCATTGCTGAGACAAAGTACCTGATACCCAAAACCAGGAAGGAAAGGTTTCTTTGGCTCACAATTTGTGGGGGTTTTGATTCATAATTGGCTGTCTCCAAGGCAGAATGGCATGGCAGAGGGGCAATGGTTAATGGTGGTGGAAGAGAGAAAAACCAACACAAACAAAAAGTGGGAAGCAGGCTTCTTTTCCTCCCTTACATTGTATGGAGGATACCCACCTAGAGTGGGTATAGCACTTATATTCCCAATCCCAGTACTAAACAGTGAGCCAATCACAAACTCTAGATTCATACTCTTCTGAAAAGTCTGCCCCCACATGTCCCCTGCTGTCATCCCCAAATTATTCATCCAGAGAGCAAGACATTTGCATTCAGTTGTCTAAACATTAAATACTGGCACAAATCTTTCTCTTCATTGAACTTACAGAAATCAGTAGTATAACTGTCTTAACCAATACAGCTTCTTATACTAGTGAGACAATATGATATATACACATGCATGTCTGATTTATTTCACTTATGCGTATGGTCTCAAGTTGCAGTCATTTATCCATAAAAGTTTCCAGTTTATCCTTCTTTATGGCTGAATAGTACTCCATTGTATAAACATACCACATCTTTTTTTATCCATTGCTCAGTTGACAGAAATTTAGGTTGTTTCCAAGATCTGGCTATTAGGAATTGTGCTGCTATAAACACGTGTGCACATAGATCATGTTTTTAATTCTTTAGGGAAGATACCCAGAAGATGAATAGCTGGGTCAAATGGGAACCCTAGTCCTAGGTTTTTGAAAAATCTCCATATTGATTTCCACAGTGGTTGCACCAGTCTACCCTTCCACCAACAGTGGAGAAGGGTTCCTTTTTCTCCACAGTTCCTCCAGCATCTGTTACTGCTTGATTTCTCAATAATAAACATTCTTTCTGGGGTGAAGTGGAATCTCAATATTGTCTTAATTTGCATCGAATGACCAGTGATGTTGAACATTTTTTCCTATATTTATTTGCTGCTGTTCATATTTTTTCATCTGAGACGTGTATATTTATCTCAGATGCCCATTTTTGGATTGGATCTTTAAATCTGAGAGGACTGGCTTTTTTGTTGTTGTTGTTTTTGGAGACAGGCTCTTGCTATGCAGTTCAGGCTGGCCTTGGCCTCAGTTTGTAGCCCAGGCTGGTCTCTATCTTGCTAGTGATTCTCTTGCCTCAGCCTCCCAAGTGCTGAGATTATGGGAATGCACCACCCACCATGCCCAGCTGAGGACTGATGTTTTTGAGTTCTTTATATGTTCTGACAGTAATCTTTTGTCTGAGGAACAGCTGGCAAACATTTTCTTCCACATTGTGGTTTGTCTCTTTGCTGTGTTAGTGGTTTCTCTCCCTGTGCAAAAACTTTTCAATAGAGTGAGATCCCAGTTGTTGATTCTTTGTGATATAGTAGTTCCTGAGCAATTGGGATTTTGTTTATAAAGTCTTGCCTACACCAATATCTTCAACAGTTTTACCTACTCTTTATTTTCCAGCAGATTTAATGTTTCTGTTTTATTATTAAGATCTTTGATCTATTCTCTGATTTTAGCTTAGTGCATGGTAAAAGATATGTGTGCAGTTATAATCTTTGGCATGTGCAGAGCCTGTTTTTCCAGCACCATTTATTAAAGAGGCTTTCTTCCAGTGATTCTATTTGGCACTTTTATTAAAGATAAGGTGACTTGGTGTGTTTTGTTGTTTCAGTAACTTCTAATCTGCTCCATTGACCTTTGGATCTGCTTGTTTGTTTGTTTTTTCTGTTTTTTTTTTTTTTTTGCCAATGCCCTGTAGGGTTTTTTTGATGTTATTGTTGTTTTGTTTTTTTTAAACTTTTATCACAGTAGTTTTATAGTATAATTTCAAGTCAAAGGTTGTGATGCCCCTGCCTTGTCTTTGTTGCCCAGGATTGCCTTTACTATTCTAGGTCTTTAGATCTCTTCTGGTTCTGGTTCCGCTGAATTTTAGGCTTTGTTTTCTCTCATTCTGTGAGCTATACTATCAGAATTTTGATTGGGATTGCATTGAATCTGTATACAATTTTGGAAGTATGGCCATTTTCACTATATTGTTTCTTTTTACCCCAAAGCACAAGATATCCCTTCATTTTGTATTATCCTCCTGTCTCTTGTTTCAGAGTACTTTAGTTTTGTTTTGTTTTTACTTTGGTTTTCAATGTAAAGGTCTTTTTACATCCTTCATTAGATTAATTCCTAGGTATTTCAGTTTTTGGATACTGTTGTGAAAGGTGTTGTTTCCCTGATTTCTCTCTGAGTTTGTTATTTGTATATAGGAAGGCAATCGTTTTTTGAGTGTTGACTTGGTAACCAGCTATGTTACTGAATCTGCTTATTAAATCTAGAAGACTTTCGGTGGCGTTTTTGGGGTCTTCTAAGTAGTGTCATAACACTGCAAATAATGATAGTTTAACTTCTTTCCTGTATTTATTCCTTTTATTTCTTTCTCTTGTCTAGTTGTTTTGTCTGTTTAGTATGATGTTGGCTGTTGGTTTGTCATGGATGGCTTTTATCAGATTGAGATCAAAAGTGTCTGTTTCCATTTTTAGTAGGGTTTTTATCATGAATGGGTGCTTGACTTTGTCAAAAAAATTTCCATGAAAATGAATTTAAAGATTATATCTTTGCCTTTTGTTTCTTTGCATTGGTGGGGATTGAACCCAGGGCTTTGGGTGATGCTAGGCAAGTGCTCTCTTACTGACCTGTATGCTTTTCTTGCTTCTTGTTTTCTTTTTGTTGTTCGTACTGAGGATTGAACCCAGGACCTTGCATATGCATGGCTAGTGTTCTGCCACTGAGCCATGCTCTCCACCTTTGCTTTTTTTTTTAGTCTGTCATTGTAACATTTGTCTTTTATTTTTTGTCTTTCTCTCTTTTCTGTTTTTTGAATGAATGTGTGTTAATTTCATACTTTGAAAATACTGGGGTTTGAAAGATGTTGTCACCCAAGATATTGTCGCCCAGCTTGCTTGGCAAATACTTTCCACCATAACAGTGCATGTGTGTTTTAAGGTCAATATATCTGAGATGTGATTTAGAAGGGAATAGCCAAAATATTAAAATGGAAAAATAGGATGATTTAAATTCTGTTCTGAAAAACTATTTTTCTTTTCTTTTCCATGTACTACTAGAGACACAGTCCAGTAAGTAAAAGATTTTATGTTTTTACCTGAGTCATTAAAAAGCAGTTGTAATGTTTGAGTATTGATTTTCAAAATACTCACAATCTGCTAATCTAGGTTATTATAATAGCTTGTGGTAGTATCTTAGTGTAGATACTGTTTTAATATTTTGCAGTTTCATTGGATATTAAATATGCATGTATTATTTTAAAATATAAAGCAAAAACTGCCAGAAGTTTTTCCTGTGTGTTTTATGTAATTTAAAATTGAGTGAATATATTAAAAACAATTAAATCTAATGAAAACTAGATTTTCAGTATTTACATTTTACTAAATATTTATTATCAAATTATTTGTTTAATGGTAGTTTTTGCATTTCTATTTTAGGTACAGATGAATCGAAATTCCTCTAGTAAGTCTGACATTTGAAGTGATTATTGTGTCTGTTAAAATATATTAACCAATTTGTTAGCCTCAGGAGGATTTTTTTTTGAGCACTAAATTTAATAAACAGCTATAAAAATATTCAGAAATTAAGAAAGCTAAATGTTAAGATGGTATTTGATAAGTAGCTGACTAAGAATGTTAAAATATTTCTTTGGCATGCTCTGTTGCAGGAATCAGAAAGCATTTATCAAATGAGTGATATTTTTTAGTTATATTACAATTGCAATTTCTGTTGTATCTTTTTGAAAACAGTAGTTTAACAATACAAAAAATTTTAGGATATTAACATCTTTTGCAAAATTGTGCATTAAAAATAATGTTATTGGAAAAATAAGAGTTGAGACAGCCAGCTCAAAAGCTATGTAAAGTTGTGAACAGAATGTCTGAGAAAAAAACACATCAGTCTTAATTGAAATTAAAATAATTTAAAAGACCTATTAAATTCATCATAACTATCAAATATAAAGTTATTTCATTAAACAGAAGTGTGAGTGGTAGCTTGATGATGGGGTTTTAGTCAAAATTGGGATGAATGGAGAATCTTGAGTTTTAAGGATGAGGGGAGAGTACAGAAAAATGATTAGTACAACAAGCACTCTTGGCAGCACAAACAGCCAGTGGAAAAATATGGTGTGAATAGGTATTTATTTCTTGGTGATACATAATTTTAGGTGCAGGGCAAGTTGCTTATACAAAACAATGACTTTTGTATTACTAATACTATTCTTGTTTTATCACTTGCTTATAAAGTGAGACACACAACAATTGCCGAAGTTAGTAAAACAGACTGTTGTTCCAGGTTGCTATAAAAATTTTAATTTTCCAAAATAGAACTTCTTTCAAGAGTTAATAATAACTTTTGGCAAATATAATACTTATTAATATATGGCTTTTGTAATAAGGAGGGGACAAGGAGGTTGAAGGGAAGGAGGAGAATGCGAAAAAAAGAAGTGTAACTAATAAATATAAAGATTCTTGAATGCGAAAAAAACCTCTTAGAACTTGAAAATGTTTTTGTGATTCATCAATTAAAATTTTTGTTCAAAATTTATATATTTAAACATTGCCTTCTGTTTTTGAAAGTCACAGCCTTTTTTTCCTTTAAACAGTAACTTGAATAAATTTATATTATAGTTTAGTGGATAATGAGTAATTTCTTTTGGAAAAAGCTTTTGGAAGAAATCAAGATTCAGCAGAAATTCAGCTATGTACTTTTCTCTGTTTATACTAACATTATCACTTTCAAATTTTTCAAATTGTTCACAGCATTGGGATGTGTATATAGTTTCCCTGTTTTGCTAAAATATTGTATTTCTCAGATTATGAATTTTCTGATAATATTTTTATTTTTTAATTAGATGAGGAGTTAACAAAATCAAAGCCGTCTGCTCCACCCCATGAGTAAGTTCCATTTTTAAAAAGAGACATATTTTAGACTGAGTTTAGGGTCAGAGCAAAATTAAATATAAGCCATAGATGTATTCCATATTTTTCCAGTCCTCCCAACAAAATCTCTCACCACAGTGGGTCATTTGTTATAGCAATTGCATCTGTACTTTGTCGCCTCATAGTTACCCAGTCTTAGTTTATATTAGGATTCAGTCAGCATTGTGTGTTCTGGGTTTTGAAAAATACACAATGACGTGTATCCACCATTGTAGCTTTCTACAAAGTGTTTTAACATCCCCTGTTCTCTGCTTGTTTATCTCAGGCTTACTGTCATACTTAGATTTTAAGTATCATGTTCTTGTGCTTTCCAAAGAGCTTTCTAAAGAATTACCTCTGCAGTTGCAGTGCTATTAAAATGTTAATCACCTTGTTTTCTAAATTATGAAAAGTCAAATTAGAGTTTTTAGATGTTTTATTTTTCACTTGACAGTATTTTTAGAGTGATTTTTTAAAAAAAAATTACTTAACTGCAGCTGGCCGTGGTGGCTTCAGTGCTTCTAAATAAATGATGATACAATCTTAAATTTATGTATGTCTGTATTTCAACTAGTTGTTCTCAGAGGAATTTTGTTTCTTTAATTTTGCCCACAACTTTATAAAATAGACTGTATTTCATGAGCTCCAAAATGAGGTGTCTCAAGATGAAAAGGCAGAGGGCCAAATGGCAGGTTGCCAGCTCTCTTTAAAATGAATAAGAAATTTTAGCTGATGTTGCATGAATCACTGTTTATTTTTCTGTTTGTAAGAGTACTTTGAGTTCATGTTTCTTTTTCTTTTTTTTTTTTTTGCCAAGCAGTGTCCAGACCATGCAGAAGAGATGATATAGTCACTTACCTCAGTTTACAATGGCCCAACATTATTGTATCCCACATGTATAAGAGTTCATGTTTCTTACATGAATAAAAGGTGGACTTAATTGAGTAGTTTTGTGAGATAACTTGTTGCATTAAAACTTGCTTTTGGAAATTTTATGCAGTTATAGTAGTAGACTTTATCATAAAATGTAGAGTAAAAAGTAGATAGCTACTTTCAGATAACTGCAACATTTTCAATATAATGGGCCTGCCTTCTATTTAAGATTTAAGATTTTTTTTAAATGGCAGTTTTAACGTATTAAAATATTCAAACTGTCTTTCTGTACTTCAGAAGACTTTTTTAAAAAAAATCCTTTGCCCTTTATCTCCATCTTTGAAATTACTATGGCTTTATAAAATTTTATAAAGTGGTGGATTTCATACCACTTCAGCTTTTTTTCCGAGCTTGGATGTTCCGTGTGAATCAGCAAAGCTGAGACTGTCTTAGACTCAATTTAGCTGTGTGTCTTTGGACAGCTCATTTAGACTCTTTGTGCTGCTTTCCTTCATTTGTAAAGCTAAAATCGTTCTTCTCATTTTGACAGCATCCCAGCACTGTTAGCCTCTAATCAGATATGATCTGGGAAATAATTCCCCACTCTGCCAACATCATATATTATTATTTTAGGTTCTGCTAAGTCTATTAAGTTACTTACATAAACCATTGGCAGTATATCCAGCCTTTTAATTGTGTATATTAAGCTGTTAGAATTCTGTGAAATAAAAGTAGGTGGCTCAATTTTGTACTAAAAAATTATTTTGTTAAAATTGTTTTTTTAATGGCATGGTAGAAAAGGGACAAGTGATTTGCTTGCATGGGACCCCCTATTTGGACCATCTGTTGATCCATCATCTTCAACTTCACTAACTTCATCATCATCAGGTAAGTACATGTATATTTTTTAACTTTGTAACTTTTTTAATTGATATATTTACAGCTTGTATATTGTATAAAAGTTTTTTAACTTGTCCTGTGATCATATTACCAGATAAAAATAATTTTATACTGATTTTATTAGCTTGAAGAGCCCTTAGCTTAAATAATAAAGTCATCAAATACCAAGAAGGTTTAAAATTGATACGTTTATCTCTAGTCATCATTCCACATAATTACCCAAATAATGTTTGTTCACAAGTAATTCAAATACAGTCAGGTATTAATGAAACTAGTCCTTTCTTAATGGACATTCAAGTTCTGTTTCATTTTCCATTGTGTATATCAGTGGAAATAAATTTTGTGTGCATCTCATAATACCCTTGTGATGATAATATTAAATGTATGGGTCACAAGATATGTTCATTAATACTATTGTAGTCAGAGTTTGCAAGGAAAATAATTTTATATGGGACATATAACTTACAGGATTATTTTATAATAGTCTCCCAAAGAGTCAAATACAAAAAAGTACAAGAAATTTCTCCACACACTAGAGACCCAAAGAATCCAGGTGAGGGCCTGGGTCCCATGGCAATATCCTGCATAAGTCCAGATGAAGACTAGAGCCCATGACAGTGCCCCTCGCGAGTCCAACTGGAGGCCTAGGGCTCATGACAATGTTTCATGCAAGTCTATATCAAGGATCTGAGCTGGGAAGACCCAAAGGTCAGTGATGGAAGCTAGAAAGTCTGTGCCAGTGGATTGAAGGTTCTGTGCCAGCAGGCTGAGGGATCTGCACTGGAGCCAGGAAATGAAGCCTAAGGTAAGGACCAGAGCATCCCAAAAAGTACTGCAGCCATCCTCAGCAACAATGAGGTCCCAAGCTCCTCCGAAGATGAGACCAAATTCTTATCAGGAAAGCCAGCATAGCAAACTCCTCCAGGAGAACCAACTTCTTCCTCTTCAGTTTTCTTTTTTGTATTGTCGGCAACAACCCTCAGGTGGGCCCTCCCTCCACACTCAGCACCATGCTGATTCAGTTCAGATGGGTGTTACAAGTTGACCAGCAGTTGTCAATCTCTCACAGATACTTTGTGCTAAACCATTTTTTTAGAAGAGATTTAATACTTTCCAAGCAATATATGAAAGAATTTGATGAATGCTTTTTAGTTGTCATGTTGGCAAAAATAGGTTGCTTCTCTTTTCTTTGAAATACACAGTTCTCATAAGCCAAAAAAATCAAAACAGGCATCAAAAATGCATGTAATATAAAACTACTTACTGTGGGCTGGGGGTTTAGCTCAGCGGTGTAAGTGCCTGCTTGGGAAACATGAAGTTGTGAGTTTGATCCCCGGTACCAACAAAAAAAACCAAACAAATACCACTTACTGTTCAGAAAAAGAAAATCAAATTACTTTAAGTTGACTTTCTGTTCTCTGAGACCATTAATTGCTAGAGTACTGAAATCTTAGGAATATAACTTAAATTTGTTGTGATCATGTTGTCAGTCTTCTAGTAACTACTTGTTTAATTTCTTCACGTTACTATCTCACATTACATTACTATCTCACATGACGTCCTTTTTATTGTCTATTTAACAGATGAGAAATGTAAAGCTCAGAGATACTAAGTAAATTCTCCAAGATTACATAGCTAGAAAATAAAAGAGAACAAGATTCAACTTGGAGTTTACTAAATCTATAATCATTGTTCTGTATGTCCCATTCTAGCTGATTAACAACAACAAAAGGCTAGGCTGAAACATTTTATAATTACTAATAAATTGTTTTTACTTAACAATAGACATTTAAAAAGGAACTATAAGTGCATTATATATCTTAATTCTAAACAATATTTGAAATTTTGAGGAGGTGTAATCTGTACCTACTATTTTAAAAAAAGTCTGTTGATAGTTGAACATGTCTTGAAGTGACAGTCTTTCTCAGCAGTAATCTGTGCCTATTTAGTGTTGTTAAACTAACTTAACAAGTATGTAAGGAAAGTAATTACAGAGGTCTCTTCTATGTTTAGTAAACATATCAGATTGATGTTTTGTATTTAGAATGAGAAGTCCTAAGCTCTGTGTGTGTGTGTGTGTGTGTGTGTGTGTGTGTGTGTGTGTTAGTTACTGAGGGAATTTGCATTGGAGCCAGGAAATGAAGCTCAAGGTAAGACCCAGGGTGTCACATGTGCTAGGCAAGGGCTCTGCATAGCACTGAGCCACATCCCTCAACCCATTTTTAAGATTTTTTTATTTTTTGAGACAGTGTTGCTCAGTTGCCCTGGGTAGCCATGAACTTGTCTCAGCCTACCCAATTTCAGGAGTTACTGTCACCATCCCCAGGGACTCTTAATCTGGGTAAAAAAGGGGGGTAAAAAATTTGTTACCCTCCTTTTATGAATTATTTCTTAAAAATCTTTAATGAAAATTTTCAAGTTGGTGTCTCAGGGACTTTAGTTATATAGCAGTTTGCTTCATAATTCTCATTGTTTCTTTTTTAAAATTATAATCTATTTTTTAAAAAAGTTCTTCCTCTTTACCCATGTAAACAATATTTTACTCATATCACCTTTACTTGAGGGAAAAGCAGTTAATTTTTATCATTTGACGTTTAACAGCTAGGAAATGACAAATCTATTAACATTTTGCTGGTTGTGTATTTATGTTTGATTTGGTTTGGTTTGGTTTGGTTTGGTTTGGTTTCAGGAGTTTTTTTTAAATTTTCTTTGTTTTGTTGAGACCAGGTCTCACTGTGTAGTTCAGATTGGCCTTGAACTCACAGTTATCCTCTTTTTTCAGCCTCCCAGTTAGTGAGGTTACAGATGTGCACCACTATGCCTGGCCCTTTTTGTTTGGGTTTTAGAAACAGGATCTCACTATAGTTTGGGCTGTCCCTGAACTCAGCAAAGTAGCCCAGTATGACTCACAGCAATTCTCTTGCTGTAACCTCTCAAGTGGACAGGATTATAGGCATGTGCCACTGTGCCCTCCTACTGGTTGTGTTTCTAAACCTTTCTGTATAAGTGGAACAGTGCTTACCTAGTATGTGCTAGTCCTTCAGTTCAGTCCTCACTCAGTACTCTTCCCCAGAAAAAGATATCATGAAAAGATTTAGGAGGGAAAAAAGATAATTGTATTATATAATAATTATGCCTTCACGTGAATGGAGTATAATTGTTGGTCAGAATGACTGATATGATATTGTGATTCTATTATTTTATAAACTGACCCTAAGTAAAATTGTGAAATGTACATTTTATCTCAAATTTTGTTCCACCAGTTTTTGCAGTGCATGTCTCCCCTGTCTTAACATCTCTGTATCAGGTACCCATTTTCACAAGTTTCAGGTTGTGAGATCATTCCCTACTTTGCTTTGTATCTTTCAGAATCTTAATTCCATCAGTTAATAAGGTTGAAAAGGTTGCATAGAGTTTGGTTGAGAAGTAGTTTCTGTTGTATCTTGTGCCACACACTATAAGTAAGCACATGTTTACTTCAAACATAATGAAATGCCAAGATTTGTGTATGTTTTTTTGTTTGTTTGTTTGTTTTTTGGTACTGGGAGTCGAACTCATGATCTCATGCTTGACAAGCTGTGCTTATGCTGCTGAGCTGAATCCCCGGCCCTGTGTATGTTTTTAAATATAACTGTTTCATACCTACCTTCTCTTTGATAAGTGCCCTGTAGACTGTTTTATTCTCTGCTCATAAATTGAGCTCTTGTATTCTGCTAAGATCCTTTAAAATTATCTTTTAAAATATTAAGCTTGGGCCAGAGATACAGCTCAATGACATAGCACCTGCCTGGCAAGCATGAGGGCATGAGTTTAATTCCCAGTACTAAAAATAAAGCTCATTTTAATAATTCAATGCTGATTTACTTGAAGGAACTTCCTATGACAGTTTTATTATGGGTCAAAAATTTTGTTGAGTATCATATATACATGAATATTATTACTTTGTCATCTTGTCAAATCTCACTGGTTACCTTGTTCCTCTGAAAAAATGAGTAATTTTGACTATCTAATTTTTGGACCCTCAGTTTTAAATAAATATGGACTTCATTTTTTAATATACACTGTTTCTTGTTTGTACTTATTTCCCTCTGCTAGTATAAAGTTTGAGGAAGTTGCTCAGTGGTAGAATTTGCCAAACATGCATGATGCCGTAGGTTTTATCTCTAGTCTTGTGAAAAACTAAGATAAAGAACACCTTTTTGAACTTGTGCTGTTCCGTGTATTATTTTTTCTAGTTTCAGGTAATTAAAATGAAAGAAGGGAATTATGTGGCTATGTAGATACACAGTTTACTTACCTTTGTCATTGATTTTAGGATCTACATTAGTCTCTCCTTTGTTCAGGTAAAGAGTGACATGCAGTGTGAAAGGACTGGTATTAACCAGAAGAAAGCAGCAGCCTCAGAATCTAAGCTTGATATCTTACTGTTTTTTACTGTTTTCAGCAAACCTGAATAGTGTTTGCATCATTTATCCCCTTTCTTTCTTTCTTTCTTTCTTTCTTTCTCTCTCTCTCTCTCTCTCTCTCTCTCTCTCTCTCTCTCTCTCTCTCTCTTTTCGTTCGTTCGTTCGTTCGTTCGTTCGTTCTTCCTTTGAGACAGGGTCTTGCTGTGTAATCCAAGCTGGCCTCAGACTCACTGTAGCCCAAGTTGGCCTCATACTCATAGCTATCCTCCTCCTCAGCCTCCTGAATACGGGAATTACAGGTGTGGGCCCTCCTGCCCAACTGTGATAAGTTTTCTCAGTGACTTCCCACTTCCCCCAAAAAATAACCCTTCTACATTGTTGATAGGAATGTATACTAGTACACTATGGAAATCAGTATACAGATTTTTCACAAAACTAAAACTAGAAATTATTACCTTTCTAGGTGTCTTTCCCAAAGAATTAAAGGCATCATTATTACAGTGATACATGCCTACTCATGTTTATAGTAGCACAACTCATAATACAGTAGTTAAGTTGGAAGTGGTCTATATGTATATCAACAGATGAATGGATAGAGAAAGTATGGTAAGGATGAATGAGTCATTTATAGGAAAATGAATGCACTTTTAGACCATAAGGTTTCAATCAGACACATAAACTTAAATATTGAATGATTTCTCTTGTATGAGAAACCCAGAATCAGTAAATTAAAGAGCAAAAACAAGATAGATAATGAGAAACAAGAAGATAGAGCTTTTCCAAAAGAGAAGGGGACCAAGAGATGGAGGCAGGGGGACAGAGGTTAGGATAGGAAAAAAAACAAATGCAGATTTGTTCTGTATAGAGAAGTCCCACAATGATTACAATTATGTAGTGCAAACATGTACTAATAAAAAGAAGAAAGAAAGATCCTCTCACCTCCCATTCATCCTTCTAGCCCTGTGATGACTCTTTTACCTTGAGGTTACCTCCGCCACTATCCCTGTTTCTACAGAGGCCTTCAGCTTGATTGCTTGTTTCCCTGTGTATATATTTACGCCCATTCAGATGTTTTTTATGTTGCATGTTTGTAAACTTGCCGATTCTATTTCTTCCCATTATGTTTTTTTAGTTTTTGAGTGATAGGCCATATTTTGGAATGGACTAAACAGTTTTGAAATCATTTTAATTTCTATAAAAATAATTTAAGCTTCTGTTCTGACCTGTGTTATGTCTTCTTTATCTTAATCTCCTTTATTTTTTTAAATTAAAAAAAACAATAATTTAAGCATGTTTACCTCCATTCTTCATTTTCTACTAAAATACTTGTGACTTTTGGTGTTGTATGCTTGACTTTCATTCAGTAATTTCTTTATGAGTTTTTAGTCTGTGTGTGTGTGTGTGTGTGTGTGTGTGTGTGTGTGCGCCAGGGATCAAACTCATGACCTCACGTTAACCCCTGCCTCCTTTTATGAGTTTTTAAAATTTTTAAATTTGTAAATGGCATTGCAAAACTGTGAATCCTAAATTTGTATAGGATTTAAGAAAAATTGAGATTAACATGAACATTTAGCAAAATAATTTTAGTCATTTGGAAAACAATATTTTTAATGCTCTTAATTATTACTGAAAATGTTACAGTGTGTTTCAACGCAAATCAGATTAAGAAGTTTAATTGAGGTGTTTTATGTAGAATTCATGTTACAAAATAAGATCTTTATTACTGTCGATTAAGTATATATGTATGGTAGAAACTAAAGACCTTTGGCCTAAAACTTGTTTATTTTCAGGAGTAAATGTATCAGTCTTAGCATTTTATGTGTGTAAATACTTGAAACAGTTGTGTATGTGTGTCAATTTTTTCAAAGGTTAGTGATTTTTTTTTCAGAAATATCATAGCTTTAAGAAAAGTGTATTTGATGGGTAGGTTCCCAGTATTTTAACTAACACATATATGTCTCCTGGAAAAGAAACATGAATCTTAACAGTTCTGATATAATAGACTATCTTTATTGTAAGAATTGTTATATGCTAATGGTTTTCTTCAAATTCTTTCCCTTCTCCCCACCAGCCAGGCCCACAACTCCTCTTCCTGTAGGCACCATTGTCCCACCTCCAAGACCTACTTCCAGACCAAAGCTTACTTCAGGCAAACTCAGTGGAATTAATGAAATAGTATGTACTCAAGGGTTTTTTTCTTTTAAAGTATATAACTGTTTTGATTTAAGATATAAGTGATATTTCTCTCTATATACTTGTACAGTTAATTGCTTGGTTTTCTACTTGAGTCCACAAAATACAGAAAAATTTCTCCAACAGATTCATTCTTTGCTCTCCTTTAGAACCTCATCAGTCATACATATGAACTCACAACACTGTCCAGGAGGAAAAAGATTTCTGAGAAAGTTGGCACTTAACAAAAATACCATTCAGTATCTGTTGTCCCACAATAGCAAAGCAATTTTCATGTAATTCTGCTTAATGTTGAGTATTAAGGAAGAAATGGTTGTGTTACTATGCGTTAGAAGTATACTGCCAGGAGGATCCTGATATGTATCTGATTCAGCTTTCTTTTTTGTCTTTTTCCTTTTTATCGGTACCGGGGATCGAACTCACGACTGCCTGCTTACAAGGCAGGCGCTTATGCCGCTGAGCTAAATCTCCAGCCCCCTGATTCAGCTTTCTATATTCTATGTGTAGGAAACTGGAGTCCGTCAGTTAATTGACATAAAAGAACTTATGTAGGTTGCGAATGGGGAGAGCTGGGTGTCACAGTAAGAATATCACTGGGCTATATTCCAAGTGAGGCCTCCCAGCGTTTTTGCTTCTGATCTGTTATGTTTTGCTTCTGTTACACTAATTGCTAGTGTCATTGCCAGAATTAAATTTCTAAAGATCAAACATTATCTTATTTTTTCCTTGGTATGTATTCCCACTGCTACTATTCCATTGCTTCCCATTGCACCCCATTTCAAGTGGGTAACCATTTTAACTGAATGTATAATACTCTGTAAAGCTGCCTCAGCAGCTTTCATCACCATACTAACTGCCCAACTTTCTGTTTCCAACCAAGGTTCCTGCCACTTGAAACTTTCCAGTATTTCCCAAATGTGCTGTTCTTCGTGTGTGTGTGTGTGGGTGCTGGGGATCAAACCCAGGGCCTGTGCTGTTAAGCTACATCATGCTTTTTGATACATCCATTTATTTTAATGTTCCTTCCGTTTTATCTGTAGCAGATTGGCTTACTTAAGGCCAATAATATATATCATCACCTACATAAAACCCTCTTTGATCATTCCAGCACTACTCCAGCAGATTTAATTATTCTCTTATTCCCATATACGTACTTATATTTCTGCTAGTGCATGTAGCACATTATGTTGTCTTTCTTTATGTTCTTCCTACTGACCTGCTGTAGCCAATTTTATATCCTCAGTATTTTGAATAATGCCTGTCCCATGGGCCACAGTTAAGAAAATGTTCAATGAATAAATGAAAAGGCTTGAGCATCACATGTTATACATAATGTCATCTTTCTTTTACTTTCCTGAGTGAGATGACTTACTGGAAGTGAAATGAAAAACAAGTTGCAGGCTGCCAAGATGGCTATTATTTAAGTAATATAAGAATTACTATACCTTAGTAAGTTGATTAATACAAAATTATGCTGATTACAAAAGCATAGTGCTTGAATATGTTATAATATTTGGAAAATATAGAAAACATAAAACATTTAAAATGTTCTATCTTATTACTCAAAGATAATTCTGTTAAGATACTTACTTATTTCTTTTCATTGTATTCTGAATGTGCATTTGTCCAGAGAATAAAGTTGATAAAAATACAGACTTACTGGGCACATATTAGCCAAACAACATTAGGCACATTATTTATTGAGTCCCCATTTGATCATGGGGAAAACACATATAATAATACTAGGTTGCTGTGAAATTTAAATGACTTAACAAGTGTCAAGCATGACATTGTCAAGTGCAGTATGGTTAGAAAAGTGTGTGTATTTGTTTATTTATTTATTTATTTATTTATTTATTGTATCATGGATCTAACTCATAACCTTGTACTTGCAAGGGAGGTGCTTACACCACTGAGTTAAATCCCCAGACCTTGTGTTTTTTTTTTTTTTTAATTTTTTTTTTTTATTTTTTATCGGTACCCGGGATTGAACTCACAACCATGCGCTTGCAAGGCAGGTGCTTATGCCGCTGAGCTAAATCCCCAGCCCCCGTCCCTGTATTTTTAAATATTAAAAGTTATATTGTTCATATTTCTAGTTAGTTTTTCACTAGAAAATATTTTGGCAATGACTTTCTAAATGATGAATTATTGCTGGGCCTGTTGGCGCTTGCCTGTAATCCTAGCACTCAGAAGCCTGAGGCAGGAGGATCACTGTGAGTTTGAGGCCAACCTGGACTTACAGAAAGACCCTGTCTCATAAAAAAGAATCATGAATTATTGTTTCATGGTTTTCAAGAGAATCCTTTGTCAAATAATTTACACTTAAATGTATTAAAATAAATAAAGTCAAGCTGGACATGGTGGACAAGCCTATAATCCAGGTGGCTGAGGCAAGAGGGAGAGATTGAGAGATTGAGGCCCGTCTGTGTTACATACCAAGACCCTGTATCATCACACCTCTCCAAAGTAAAATAAAAATAAAGTCAGACTTTTATAGTTGAATCATTCACATCAACCTCCTTTCCTATCAGCCTTCTTCCCTGAGATCTTTCTAGAAACTAACCTGAGGGCATCAGGGAGCAACATTTGAAGTAGATAGAGTATTTTAGTGCATAAACATTGTCTTTTATATGGTTATCAGAATTAAATTTCTAAAAGTTTTTTAGAAATTTGTTTAACTTTTAGTTTATTTCTAAGTTTTCATTGTTATGTTTTAAGGAATGTTATGTTTGCTTCTTTGAAGACACTATTTTCTTAGTAAAAGGTTTTTAAAATGAAATTCATGAATTAAGTGGTGTGTGCATTTTAAAAGATTCTTGGTAATTATTGCTTCTTGTCTACTAGTGAGCCATACCTTTCCTACTCTCTAAGGGAATCCCTCTTTGTTCTAGAGCAGTTGCACTCAGAGGAGTCCCAGATCAGTGGAATTATCATCTCCTGAGAATTTGGTAGAAATAATTTCTCTGGCCCCACTCCAGATACATCAGAAACTCGGGAGGAGTCCAACAATTGTTTATTTAAAATATCCTAAGTGATTCTGATGAACACTAATCTTTGATAACCTCTGTTTCAGAGCAATACTACCCAGTAGAAATACAGTGCAAGCAACATATATAATTTTAAGTTTTCTAGTAGCCACATTTAAAAACAGCAAAATTCATTCTACCTTATTTACCCTATGTATCAGGAAACATGTTTAGAATAATGAATGAGATTTTATATTCTTTCTATATATATGCTATCTTCCAAGTTGACTATTTTATAATCTTATAAGCACATCTTAATTTTGATTAGCCACATTTCAAGTTGTAATGGCAATTGTACCAGACAGCACAATTCTGAAAATAGGATACAACCACTTAGCTACCTCTGGATATTCCTTAAGAATTGTAAAATGCATTATAAAAATGTGTCCACATCATATTCACCATGTTGGCCATGTTGCAGTCAGAGACTAATCCCCCACAGTCATTGATCTCAAGATGTTTTCCTAGGCTTAAATTTTGGGCGAACTATTGAATTCTCTATCTGTTCAGCCCTTTACCATTTTTGTCTATATAAATATACGGCTGCATTTTTACAACCTGGATGTATTTTTAATTTGTCTGTAATGGTGTTAGAAAGCTGTACTCTAGAAAAATTGTTTAAAAATAGTTAAATGGGTAGGTGATAAAATACTTTGCTAAATATCTGATTTTCATGAAAGTATCTGTACATTGATATTAATATAATGAAAAATTGATTAATTTAGTGTAGGACTACTTATAGGTTTTATGTGTTTGTTTTTTATGTCTTTCATAAGAAAGGACAGTGTCTTTTTTGTTCACTAGCACCTAATCAAGGGCTGCCATATAGTAGTCACTGAATAATTACTTGTTACTTTTAGAAGCACAGTACAATTATTTTTAATTAAGGTAAATATGCCTTTAAAAAAAAAAGTAAAACATCTGAGGAAATATTGCCAGTGTGTTACTGGAACAGTTAAGAATTTGGAGGGCCAGGTATATAGCTCAGTGGCATAGTGCCTGCCTGGCAAGCACAAGGTCCTGAGTTTGATTCCTGGTACCAAAAAACAAAAAAAAAACAAAAAAATGGAAATAAAAAGTCCATTCACACAGGTAAAAAGTAAATAAATTAGAGATGTTTCTGTTGTTTTTATATTTAACTGAAAAAGTGAAAAAGGCAACAATTAAAGTTTTCTTAACCCTCTCTATGAGGTGAGCTTTATTAATGAAGCTTTATAAGGAATTAAATGTGGACAGATTTATAAACATCAGAAGTGACAAATAGTATTTAAAGAAGAAAATATTTGTAACAAATAAGGTAAAGAATTAGTAAAGTGTTTCACATCAGACAATTCATAAAAATGAAAAGATACATCTATCAAATTGGAAAATTTTTAAATTATTTTTTTCTTCTGTGACTCATTTCTGACAAAGTTCAGAGAAATAATTTCCTGTGTAACAGTAAAGTGACTGTTTTGGGAAGCCATTTCATAGTACATGTGAAGAACCTTCACTCTATTTAAATTAGTAGTTTAGCATCTGAGAATGTATACTAAGTATACTTTTTGTTTTTTTGGTACTGGAATCAAACTCAGGACCTTGTGCTTGCCATATAGGCACTTATGTCACTGAGCTGTATCCCTGGCCCTACTCTTTGAAGCACAGAAAATATTTTATACACAAAGACCCTCTTGACATTATTTTAATATAACCTTTCATCTTTCAGTATATTTTTGAAAACAATTTGACATATGGCATATCTGAGTTTAAGTTACAAGAAACTGTAAATTTGATTTGGTGCATTAAAGTTACACTGATATAAAAATCTCTGACAAGAAATTATTGTAGTGTTTGATAAATAACTTTGCTTTTAAGCCCAGACCATTTAGCCCACCGGTAAATTCCAACACCAGCCCACCTCCCGTTGCTCCTTTAGCCCGGGCAGAAAGTTCTTCCTCTATTTCATCATCTGCTTCATTGAGTGCTGCCAATACTCCAACAGTAGGTAAGTGTTTTATCATTGATTATAAAATTTATAAAAGTATTATCAGGCTTATATATTTTTTAAATATAGTGAAGAATTTAGGTTAGAAATTTTATTTTTCTAGAAACACATGTGATATCATACTGGCACTATGTCCTTTTCTATTTCAGTCTTTATTATTTCTATAGGAGAATTTTAATTGTGGCTAGCATTATTAAGAATGAATCAAGAGCTGGGTGTGGTGGTGCATACCTGTAATCCCAGCATTCAGGAAGCTGAGGCAGGAGGATCGTTGCAAGTTCAAGACCAGCCTGGGCTACAAGTGAGCCAAAGGCCAGCCTGAACTACATAGTGTGTCTCAAAAAGACAGACAGACAGACAGACACACACACACACACACACACACACACACACACACGCACGCACGCACGCACAGGATGAATCAGTGAAATTTACAACAATTTGTCGGTATAAACAGTTGAAGGAAATACATAATGCAGTTCTTTGCTGTCAGCTGGTAGCTGCATTCTTAAGAAAGGTGGTGTTTAAAAACTTGTGTTTTGAAAAGAATTGATTTAATAAAAAGAATTGATTGAATGAAAGGAAAGGGGTTTTATACTTCAGTGACTTATATTTTTCCATCAATTTAAATCAAAATTAAGATTTTAAAGCTATTAACATATAATTGTATAATCCTACATCTCATCAAACAAATTCAGTATTTTATACATCTAGATTTTGTTAGTTTTTGTTTTCTATCTGCACAGATTTTTGTACAGGTGTTCATTACTTTTCTCACTGCTGGTTAATGTAATAAAAGCACAAAGCCACTTAAACACAGCAACAGTGTGTTAGGAAAAGTGGTTAACTTCTCATCAGACACCTTCTCAGTAATGCTCTCTTGTTGCTAGTTCTACGTAGTGAGCGCTTTAGCCTTGGTAATGCCAGTCTGATTTGCACTGGCAGCACTATTTCAGTAGTGCTCAAAGTGTAGTCCTTGGATCTGTAGCAGATGCCTCCCCTCGTACTTATTAGAAATAGATTTTAAAATCATGTTCTGGGAGAAGGCTACCAAGCTGTGGGATACATAGGATACTGATGAATGCCAGTTGGAGAGTGACAACCCTAAAGCTGATTTCGTTATACTAGTTTAGTTTGTCAGAGCCCACAGAGGAGATAAGTATCTTGTCTGTGTGGCCATTATAAAAATAGCATGTAAGTAGCATAGGCTAAAACAAAATAATGTGTTATTTTATATATCTTCATATATGACATTTTCCCCATCTTTTTCAGTAAACTGAATATATATAAATAAGTTTGTCCTTTTATTTGATTTAATGGGGTTTTTTTTTTGTATGTATGGCATTATTAATTTTTCTTCTTGTAGTGTCTATATTTTGGTCATAAACATGTGAGAGGAGCCCTCTTAGAAATCAGACTAGTAGTCTGGGTGACCAAAATGAGCTTTACTTCTGTTTCATTGGCTAGGTTATTCAGAAGGCTTTTTTTCTTTTTGTGATAGAAACTTTTCAGTGAATTTTTATTTGAGTAGGTACCTGTTTATGGTTTCAGCAAGTGTTAACAGTAGGTGACAGTAGTGAAACAGGCAAGGCATGTTAATGTGAATTTTGTACAACAGAGGTTCTGTAATTGTACCTAGAAAATTTTCCTTTTTTTGGTCATGATCTTAGAGTTGAGGGTGGAGCTCAGGGCTGGGGGTGCTTACCTAGCATGCCCAAGGACCTAGAATGGCCAAAATTTGTTTTCCCTTTTTGTCACAATGTTTATTCAACTCTGTTTAAAACATTTTTTTTGTTTCTTGAAAACATTTTTTCCTGCAATGTTTTGTTTCATTTAAATATGATAGAAGATGATAATTTGATTGGGACACTCTCTCAAATCGAAAAGCACTGTGAGACATCCTCAGGTATTGTATCAGACACAAACATACATGTTGACTAATGATCCTAAAATGTGTCTAAAGTGTTCTGTTACCTAGTTTTTCCTTTTCTACAATATCTAGTATCTCAGAAATAAAGAATAATGCTAAGATTAACTGTCTTAGTTTTGTGCTAATTATGTCTGGTTAATAAACAAGACCTACTGACATCAAATTCCTAGTTACAAAAATATAATAGTTGTTTTGCATTTTCTTCCATTTGCCTGCTCTCTCCTTCCTTCAGTATTAAGAAGTATCAGTATATCTGAACTCTAAAATTGTCAGAATCAAAGAAAAATGTGATTAGTAAAGAACCAGAAAGAATATGTCAGCTTTGAAAAATTGTAATACCTAAAGTACTGGAGGAAGAACTGTCATAGGAAAATCATGAATAGTGAGCTGAAGTTAGAAAGCACAGACAGAGGAAATGGTTGGTACTCTTGAGTTGAAAGGAATTTCACATAAACACCACAAGAAGACTCCAATTAAGAGTACAAAGTATTTTCATTTTTTTAAAAAATAGAGTAATCAGTATAAATTTAATTTTTTAGAGTCTTGAGTAAATATTTTCTATTTAAATTAATTTTTGCAAGAATACAGGTGAAATATGATCTCAAAAGAAAAAATAAAACTAAAAAATACAGAAGTGGATATGTCATCTGTTAAGTAAACTTTTAGATCTTCCCCTATGTTCCAGCATTTCACTTGCTGGTATTCAGCAGGTATGATAAATTTATGGGGGAAACGGTTTCAAGAATTCTCATTGTAGATGCTCAAATTGAGGGTTAGAAGAATAACTATTGGTTTCTTTTTATTTCTCTGTTAACAGTACTAGGAATGACGCTTCATGTATGCCAGGCAAGCGTTCTACAACTATGCGTTATCTCACCCTTACAGGTTTCTTTTTATTTCTATAGTCAAAGCAGACATTAACGCTAATCCTTGACTACGTGTAAATACTCATTTATCTGAGTTACTCAAGGGAAAATCTAAATTTTATACTTAAGAAAATGCAAGTAGCGTTAGTATCTACAGCAGATTGATTATTAGGGTCTTCTAAGCAATACCACAATCTATAGATGTTCAAGTATCTTATATAAAATGGTAGAATATTTACATATAGCCTGCACACATAGTCCTGTACACTTTTAACATCTTTTGATTAGTTTTTATGCATAAAAGTGTAAATTCTATATAGATACCTATTACATTATTTAGGGAATGATGACAAGGCAAAAAGTCTTTACATATACATTAGATACCATTTTCCTGCCAAATTTTTTCAGTCCACATTTGAATCTGCAGATATGGAATCCGTGTATAGTATTTGGAGGGTCAACTCTATACTTCTCTAATAGAAAGATTTATTGACTGATGGTATTACTTAATGATAGAGCTCTTGTCTAGCATGCATGAAGCTTTGGATACCCAATAATGGGGAAAGAGGACCCAAACTTTTTATAATGACTGTTGTTGGTGAGGATGGAAGGAAACTGGGATCTTTTATGCACTGTTGGTGGAAATGTAAAATGGTACTGCTTTTGTGGAAAAAGAAAGTATGATTGTTTCTCAAAAAAATTCTAAATAATCTTGCCATGTAATTTAGGAATTCCACTTGTGGGAATATACCCAAAAGAATTGAAAGCAAGGTCTCAGAAAGTTTTACACCTTTGTGTCATGGTAAGTGTTAGTCACAGTGAACCATAATAGAAGAAACCTAAGTGTTCATTGATAGATGAGTAACGTAATAGTCAGCTTTCCCATTGCTGAGACTAACTACCCAATATCGGTAATTTATAGGAAGGGGAATTTATTTTTGGCTTTTGATTTCCAAGGATTCAGTCCTTGATTGATTGGCTTCAATACAGAAATAGCCTGGCAGAAAGGTATAGTGGAGCAAAGCCATTCATTTCGTGGTGACTGGAAGCAGAGCACCAGGGAAGAGTGCCAGAGAGGAAGGGGCCAGGGACAAGTTATAGATCCCAAAGACACACCTCCATGACCCACCCAGAACCCCTGGAAGTGTACTTTACTAATTTAGGCAGCTTCCAAGCTAATGTAGGCAGTTCCCAAGCCAGTCAAGTTTGACAGATGCTTAATGGTCACAAATAGATAGCAGAATATTATATATAAGTATAAACACACAGACACATAGAGTGGAATATTACTTAGCTTCAGAAAAAGAGGATATTTTGATACATGCCATAACATGAATGAACCTTAAGAACATTGTGCTGTCAATGTTTGACTCCACTTAGGTACTTAGAGTAGTTAAACTGATAGAGACAGAAAGAAGACTGGGAGAAGGGGGTTATTGTTTAGTGAACATAGTGTTTCAGTTTTATAAAATGAATTGATGTAAGGTGGTGATAATTGGAGAGCATTATAAATATATTTCATACCACTGAACTGTACACTCAAAAATGGTTAACATCCTAAATTTTATATTATGTGTCTTTTGCCACAGTAAAAAAAATTAGCTGTTGTACATGCTTGTAATCACAGAACTTGGGAGGCTGAGGCCAGAGGAGTGCCATGAGTTCAAGACCGGCTTGAGCTACATAGTGATACCCTATGTCTAAAACAAAAAAATTAAGAGAAAAGATTATTGTAGCCTACATCTTTGTCTGAAACTGTGCATTCTTGAATTTCTGATGTTCCTCTAGGTTTACAGTGAAATTTTCCTCGTATACAAATGTGTATTTATGCAGTATGATCAGTGAACTTACAAATAGTCTACTTTTTTTCTTAGTATTTTCATGCTTGTACCCTAAAACTACTAATTCCTGATCAAGTCTTTATCTTCTGCCTAATCTAAAATTCTCTCACGTGATCTATAACTAAAGTCTTGTCAGCATTTGTTTTTCTCTTCAGCACAGTGTACATTCTATATTCAGAGTGATAGTTCTAAAGTTTTTAAAATCCTGATAATGTTACTTTTAAATGTCAGAGAGTTTTAGTGCTGAAAGGATAAAACTAAAGGTCTTTCATCCCTTGATCTGATCACAAATGACTCCATTCTCATCTTTATGGTTTTTTAGTATGCTTGCCCATCCCTCAGTCATGAACATATTTGTGCTTTGCAAAACTTGTGATTCATGTCTCCTTAGGTGAATAACCTTAATCCTAAGTACTTTGAACACTGAAGCTTCAATCAGAATATTTCAGAACATTTTGCACTTTGGATTTTCAGATTAAGGATGTTTAGTTGGTAAAGTCTGTGCATGTATTAAAAACAAATCTAAAATACTTTTGGATTCATATATTTCATATATTTAAGATAAGGGATAGTCTATAGTAGCTATGATTATGGTTTTGTAAGTAAGTTTTTATATTATTGAATTTGTTACTTTCACATGAAATTTTAAGTTTCTTCATTTTGGAGTTTCCTTCCTACAAACAGCAGTTCTTAACTACATGCATTTTTCATTAGTGAGGTATTTTTTCTATCTATAAATAACCTTCTGAATAAAAATTCCTTGAAAATCAGGAATACCATAAAATCTTCCTGACTACTCATGCTAATGAAACATCTTTTATAACTGTTTGTAGTGTGTCAGCTTGTAGTGATTTTCATCAGTCTACCAGGTGAACTAGTCTGTTTTTTGTTACCATAACAAAATACAAGTGCCTAAGTACTATTTTTTTGTTGTTTTAAAGAGAAAACAAAAATCAAGAAATAACAGCAAAAGCAAAATGACAACAACAAAAACAATGGCAATATAGGGTTTCAAAACATAATAATAGAAATTAAACAATGATGGTTATATGGCCTATTGTTATCCTCAAAGTTGGGCTGGGGATTTAGCTCAGCAACATAAGCGCCTGCCTTGCAAGCGCACCATCTTGAGTTTGATCCCCGGTACCAAAAAAGCCAAACAAACATAAAAGTAATTGCTTAGGCTACCACATACAGGCATGCAAAACTGATCAAACAATATAATTTTCTTAGAGCAGTTTCTTTCATTTTTAGTATATCGTAATTCTTGGATCTTATTTACTCTTTCAGTTTCTTACACTAGTGAGACAATACAGTGTTTACACATTCAAGTCTGATTTATTTCACTTATGAGTATGATTTCTAGTTGTATTCATTTACCTATAAAAGCCTCAAGTTTATCATTCTTTATGGCTGAGTAGTACTCCGTTATATAAAAATACCACATCTTTGTTATCCATTCCTCAGTTGATGAGCCGCTGGGTTGTTTCCAAGATCTGGCTATTACAAATTGTGTTGCTTTAACATGGGTGCACGTAGATCACTGTGGTATGATGTTTTCAGAAGAGGAATAGCTATGTCAAATGGAACCTCTAATCCTAGTTTTTTAAGGAATCTCCGTTCTGATTTCCATAGTGGTTGTATCAGTCTACACTCCAACAATGGAGAAGGGTTTCTTTTTCCCCCTCACCCTTGCCAGCTTTTGTTATTGGTTAATTTCTTGATGTTATCCATTCTTTCTAGAGTGAGATGGTAGCTCAGGTTGTTTTAATTTGCATTTCTTGAATGACCTGTGGTGTTGAATGTTTTTCCATATGTTTATTTGCTGCTCATATTTCTTTCATCTGAGAATTGTGTATTCATCTCAGATGTCCGTTTTTGGGCTGGGTCTTTAAATTTGAGGAGGCTGATTTTTTTCAATTCTTCATGCATTCTAGATAAAAGTCCTTTGCTGAGAGACAGTTGGCAAAAAGACTGAGTCCTTTATAAAGAAGAATTTATTTAGCTTATGGTTTTAGAGACTGGAAGTCCAAAAATCAGGTGACTTCATTGGATTGATTAGTCTGAGATGTTGACCTCCTGGCACCAGGAATCATTATGGCCAGGAGCATGTATCAGAGTGATTATATGGTGAGACAGGAAGCCAGAGAGGAATTCAGAGACAGGGCATGCACTTTATAACAACTTGCTCTCAGTGGAACTCATTCTTGGAGACCAGCCTTTTTGTCCCTACCTCTTAAAAGGCTCCACCACCTCAGCACTACCACTTGGGAGACCACATGTTTAAAAGCATACAAAACCCTGGGGAACAAACTACATCCAAACCAGAGCACCATGTCTTAACAGTAATTTCATTCTTTCATGAGAGTCATGTAGTGACATGAACATTCTATAACATTTGTACAAAAAGGAAATACATTTCAGAGATAGGTGTTGACCCAATTCATTTATTTTCTTCTTTGAATATGAATCAATAATTATATTTAAAAACTACTATTGACTGACTTTTTATAAAATTTCTTGTATATTTTACTGTACATGAGAAGAAATGCTCTGCTTGGGAAAATCAGTAGAGTCATGAAGCATACATGGGAAGAGTGCATTTGTGAAGATAAAGGCAGTGCAGCTTTTATGGGAGATACTTATCTAGGTTTAATGTTGAACAGATACATAGATTAAATTTGTTTTCACTTTATTATGCTTTAATAACATTGATATTTTTGACTGTAAAGGCACCTTATCTGAGTGAGCTCATATTAGGGATTAACTTTTAAATTTTTGAAAAATCACATCCTCTGCCCCCATCTGCACCCACCCCTGCTCCAACTCCCTTTTGCTGGTTTGTCTGAGTTATTTTCTTGTCATGGGGATGCAATACTTCATACATGCAGTGTAAAGGAGAGGTTTGTTTTGGTTTCATGTTTTCAGTATATAGTCAGCTGACTCCAAGGCTGGAAGGACTAGGTCAGAGGAGCCGCTGAGGGTCATGGTGGCCAGGAAGCAGAGAGTAATTATTCAGATCTTAGCCTCAAGGACTCACCTCTTAATAGCAAAGCAGCTGAATTCCTCCATAATCTAATCACTGTCCACAAGCCTCATCTCTGAGCATACTGAGCCTTGGGGGTGATAGTCCAGAAAATGGTGTATGGAATTAACCAAATATTGAGGCAAGATAATGTGAGATTATAATACATACTGAGCATTTCTAATTTGGACATTAGAAGTCTAAAATATTCCAAAATTGGAAACTTTTTGAATATTACAGTATTCAAAGTTTAAGGTTTTGAATATTAAGATGAAGGATGCTCAGTTGGTAAATTCTATGTTAATACTCCAAAATCTGACCAAAATCTGAAGAACTGCAAAATCTGAAATAAATCTGATCCAGAATGTTTTAGATGAAGACTACTCAGCCTATGTAAGCATCAAAGACAAATTTAAGAAAATTTTTAGAATATGAGTACCATATGAAATATGACTACTGGGACAGAAATAACTTATATGCAAAAAATTTAGTTTAATACCCTGAAGTATGTGATTAATACAACCAGAAAGAATTTGGCATTTGAAGGTTCTGAAAGTCATAGTGGTAATTTTAACTCTAAATTAAAGGCTTTTTCCTTCTGATGTTCTTTAACCATCCTGTGTCTTTCCATTTAAGTCAGTATGATATGTATTCCTGATTTCTGTTTCCCTGTGTAGTATGTTTCAATTTGTTTTAAGCTGTGTTTATTAATCTCTGGGTTTCTACTTGGCTCATACTGTTTGAAACTAGTAATAGGAACATTTGTGATAATTTAACAATGTAAACCTGTTTTGGTATTTAATATCTATCTTTCTGAAGGATTTAACAAATGAATTGTATGTATTCTAGGTGTGTCACGAGGTCCCAGCCCTGTCAGCCTTGGGAATCAGGACACCTTACCTGTGGCAATTGCCCTCACAGAATCTGTTAATGCCTACTTTAAAGGAGCAGATCCCAGCAAGTTAGTTTTTTAAATATATATGTGTGTAATACGTATTTTGGGCTGGGAGAAGGGACTTGGTGGTGAATTTTAAGTTATATTTTAACTTTTTGTACATTAGGATTTTCTTTGTTACCTGCTTTTTACTTTCTCTTTAGTTATGTAGGGATTGTCTTTCAGATTTAAAAAAATCACTATAATCAGCAATAAGTGATGGCTTGTCCCCCACTCTGTTTACACTGTTGCCCAGGCTGTTTGACCATTGTGACACATTTGATGAAAATGTCACAATGCCCAGAAAGATCTGGAAAGTAATGTGTGACTAATGCAAAGGTGATTTCATCGCTTGCTTTTAAGAAAATCATATTTTTTTCACTAAATACTTGAGTACCTACTATATGTAAGACTCTGTGATAAATGCTAAGGATTCTTCACCACAAAACAAAGCTCCTGCTGAGCTTGTATTAGTAAGAAAAAAGAATACTCAAAACAGATACCTGTATGTTTGTATATTGACAGAAAAATAAACCAAAGTAAGAAGGCAGAGTAATGGTAGAGTGCTATTATTTTAGACAGAATGACAGGAGAAGACTTTTTTGAGGTTAATTTAACCAAATATTTGACAGATATGTAGGAGCAAGCAATGAAAATCTGGAACTATTAACATTCTAGGAAAAAAGGAACCAATAAGTGCGGGGTGGGGGTCTGACATAAAAGCATGCTTGGCATGTCTGGGATACAGCATGGAGAGCCATGTCACTGAGCTGGAGTGAACGAGAGGGAGAGATGAAGAGCATGCAGAGTGACACCAGATCAAGTTGGGCTTGTGGGTCATGATAAAGAGTTTGGAATTTAGTTTGAGTCGGGTGGGAAGCCAGTGGGGACTTGGAGCAGAGAAGTGTTAAAATGATTGTGTGTTGAAGGAGCATTCTGGCCATGTGTAGAGAATAAACTGGAAGGACCCAGAGCAGATGCAGAGTGTTAGAGGACTGGTTACTGAAGTCCAGGTGAGAGGTGATGTTGCTTTGAGTAAGGGTGTTAGCAGAGTACGTGGTGAGTAGGAGTGGGATTCAGAATATGTTTTGAAAAGTTGTCAAGATTTGTTAAGGAAGTAGAATGTGGTTTGGTTTTCTTTTTTAGAATGGTAAGTTGAACTAATTGTTGTGATGTTAGTGGAGATGTTGAATAGGTAGCTGTATATACAATTCTGGAGTTTGGTCAGTAGAGATAAAAGATACTTAATGCTTACTTAAAGTTGGTCTTTCAGGAGTAAGGGGAAAAGGGATTGGAGAACTAAGTATTTGCCTCTCCAGAGCTAAAAACAGAAAGACAAGGATCACCCAGCATAGGGGTTTGAACAGCAACAAGACAAGGAAGGAAAGAACCAATACAACACTATCCAGAGGTTAAATGCATAAATCATTGCATCAAAGGAGGTGTACAGCTGTATCTTGCTTCCAACGGATCAAGAAAAAATTGGCTATTGGCAATATGAAATACTGGTAAACTTCACAAGAGCAATTGTAAAAGTGCGGTGGAGATGAAAGCTTGGAGTGAGTAAGGGAACAGGTGACACAGACTTAGATAACTATATTTGAGAAAAACATGTAGGTAATTCTTTGAATGTTTGCTCTAAGAAAGCTGAGAAATGAAATGGAAGGAGTGAGATAGCAGAATCAGAGGAGGATTTTAACTTTTGAACAAATGGTATATGTCTCTGCATGTCGGTGTGCTAATGAGAAATATGTAGTATTTATGGGAAAAATGCTACCTGGAAGCATTTTTCAGGAAGGAAAATGGACAATGCATGAGTGAGGAGGCTTTAGGTATGTGATGAGAGGTGACCCCTAGAGCGCACTCTGTGATTTGGTATAGGTACAGAAACCTGTCATCTGTTGAACAGGAAGGCAGAAAATACAAATGAAGAGCCAGGTAGATTGGGAATTTAGTAGAGAGAGTAGAAGGGGCTTTTCCCCCTGCTTTTTCTGCTGCAATAAAACTAAAAGCAAAAATCACCAAATGAGAGAGAGTAGGGGATATTGCAGATTAAAAGACAAAGAGAAGCTGTGAAAAAAGGCAGAAGAATGATCAGACAACATGTTGAATTAACAGTTCACAGTATGCGTGCTGTTTAAGAGTTTAGACTATGCAGTCAGGTTTTCTCTAGTACATTCAGCTGTTCAGATGTGGGTAGGGAGCTGGATTTAGCTAAGACTTTAATTTGGTCAAGCACAGTGGAAAAAGCAATGGAGAATGTCTACTGATGGACCTGGGAATTCAAAGATAGGAAGAAATAAGGATTTGATGGGTGAGTGAAGAATAATGAAAACGGTGATAAGAACAATGGATTGTGGAGATTTTGATGAGGTTAGAGAATTATTAAAGATATGGTATTAGGCAGAATGAGTTACAAAAATGACAAGTGGTGAGTAGATGAATTGAAAGTGTGAAATTGAGATTATGGAGGGGCTGCAGCATGGGTGAGATAAGCCAAAAGACAGGATTTAGAGATAAAAGGCTGAAAAACTTAGTGATAACTACTGAAAGGACCATTTGGGCATATATTTGAAATCACTAAACATGATAGTAGTAGAGCAGAGACATTGGCAGTGAGACAGGAGCTCAAGTAAGTGTTTAAGATGAATTAAAAGGAAAGGGTTAGTGAATAATATCTGATTGTTTTGGGGGGTTTGTTGAGTGGTTGGCTGGTTTCATTTTTGGTGCTAGGAATTGAACTTAATGTCTCAGGCGTGCTGAGCACTCATTCAACCATTAAGCTACATCTTCAGACCATGAGTAGTGTGGTCTGATACACGAGTTTCAAAGAAAGAAGAAATATTAGGCTGGAAGAGGCAGTGAGTAGTAAGGGAAACAGCCACACCACCACCATCAGCTCTGTGTGGCCTGGAAGAGGGGGAAATAGCTACAACTAGGGACAATGTTATCAGGGGAGCAGTGACGACAGGTTATCCAGGAAATGGGTACCACAAAAAAGTCAAATTGTGTGCTTGTATTCATGTTTGGAGTTTAATTCCAGGAAGAGATGATGTTGGGTGAGTGTGCCGTTTTACACAGCATATTTTTTATAATTAAATTGTAGAAATAAGTAGAATAAATGAATATATACATATTCTTCATCATAATTCTGCTTATTTATCCATTAAGTGGAGATTAAAGCATCTTATTTAATAACTTGTCAATATCTTCAATTTCAGGTGTATTGTGAAGATTACTGGTGATGTGACAATATCATTTCCAAGTGGAGTTATTAAAGTCTTCACTAGCAATCCCTCTCCGGCTGTGCTGTGCTTCAGGGTGAAAAATATCAGCAGACTTGAGCAAATTCTTCCAAATGCACAACTAGTATTCAGGTTTGTATAAATGTTTTCCTTCTTTGAAATGATAATATTCAATGGGAGATAATACCAAAATTATCTGTTGTTATTATTATTAAACAGCCTTGTACTGTTCTTTTGTTTTTGATGTGATAGTTACTTTTAAACTATGTTGTATCATTCTGTCTTTATCTTTCAGGCAAGCTTTTGCTGTGTTCCATTCTTTATCCTCTAATCTTACTTTTCCGTTATCCTTCTTTTTGGCTCACTTGTACTAATCTTTTTCAAATCACCAAATTATTACATAGAGGCAAACGAAAAAACATAAGTCAGTAAAATAATAAAAATGTTTCTCACATGTGCAGTGACCCATCACAGTGTGATTCCAACACAAAAGATTTTTGGATGAATATGCAGGCTGTTACTCTCTACCTCAAGAAGCTATCTGAGCAAAATCCAGCTGCCTCCTATTATAATGTAGATGTATTAAAGTATCAGGTGAGTAGCACGTTTTTGTGAAATCCTAAATTAAAACATTAACAATTGGGAGCTAGCATATCACTAAATAAATGCACCACTGTCAAATGAAGTTCATCCCAGGAGTTCAGAAATTTTACAAGATTAGAAAAGGTTAATAAATGAATAGATAAACCAGGTGTGGTGGTGCATGCCTGTAATCCCAGCTCTTGAGAGGTTGAGGTGGGAGGATCCTGGCAAGTTTGAGACCAGCTTGGGCTACAAAGTGAGCTCAGGACCATCCTGAACTGCATAGTGAGACCCTGTCTCAAAAAGATGCCCCCCCCCCAAATTATTTATATAGACATGAGTAGATATATACATTAATTTATCCTTTTTTTTTTTTTTTTTGGTACCAGGTATCAAACTCACAACCTCATGCTTGCCAGGCAGGTGCTTGTGCCACTGAGCTAAATCCCCCCACCCCTAAGTACATTAATTTATACTTAGCATAACCCACAAAGACCTACAAATCATTCTTAATAACAAAACACCTAAAGCAGTTAATTAAAGTCAGATAGCAACAGTTAATTAAAGTCAGATAGCAAACACACTCATTATTTGTTTAGTATTAACAAGATCGAAGGTTTTTCCAGATGTTTTAGCAATATAGTTAGGTAAGAGAATAAATGGTGATAAACATTGGAAAAGTGGACCCAAAATTGTCACTTGCAGGAGATAATAGTTCTGGAAAACTCAGAACTGACTGAAAAACTATTATGACATAGAATTTAGTAAAAGTAGCCATTTTGGAAATTAGTATTAAAATTACTAACTTTTAAAAAAGAAAATAGAGAAAAATACTCAGAATAAAAAACAGAAAGAAATACATAGTGATACCTCAGTGTACAAGCTCAATTCTTCCCATGATTTGGGTTGCAAATCAAGTTGGACAAGAAATAAATATGGTAATTAAATTAAAATAGCATATCTTTAGAAAATGAATACTGTGTGTAAGAGTAAAGAACATTGTCATGTAAGTTGACTTGAAGCTTATTATAAAATATTCATTTTATTCCTTCATTGAGCAGATATACATTATTCAGTGCCTCCTAACTGCTGGGAGTAGGACAGGAAGATAGTAAACATATTAATGTTGCATGTTAGTAAGTAAGTGGTATGAAGGAAAAGTAAAAAGTAAGATTAGGGAGATTGAACATTCCATTTTTTTGGAAAATTTAAACCAGGTCAGAGTGGCCTTTGAAATGAGTTGAAAAGGAGCCATACAAGGAACTGAAGAAATGGGAGGAATTATTTTATTTATCATAGGTCATATGATTAAATATTTAAAATATTCTAATTCCAGGCTTGTGGAACTAAATGGTGAACCTTCTTTTTTTCTCTTAGTAATTCATAGTCTTAGAATACTATGTTGAATATTGAGAGGTTCTCAGATGTTGCACAATTAAATAAGAATCACTAGATAACATGCCAGTTTTAGGCCACTGTTCAACTGTTGAGTTGGATATTCTCCACTTGAATCCCATGGAACACACATTTTAAACAAGCACCATGGCAGTTTTGATGTAGATCTTCCTGGGTCCTTCCAATGAGGTAACCTTTACTTCTTTGAGATGAGTCTGCTTTTACTCTGCCTAGCAACAGATAATCCTGTTAGATAGTTTTGGTTCTGTAAAATTCTTATGTCCAAATGTCTATGTCCTGAAATGAACTTTTTACCTTCAAACCAAAGACAGTTTTTGGTTTTGCTCTTTAAAGGTATCATCAAATGGCATTCAGTCTACTCCTTTGAATCTTGCAACGTATTGGAAATGTAGTACCAGCACCACAGATCTTAGAGTGGATTATAAATACAACCCAGAAGCCATGATGGCTCCTAGTGTGCTTTCCAATATACAGGTGGTGGTTCCAGTGGATGGAGGAGTCACAAATATGCAGTCCCTTCCCCCTGCAGTATGGTAAATAAATATATTTATGAATTCATGCTACATTTCTGTTTTATTTCCCTATATTTATTTGTTGATTGATTGATTGATTGGTTGATTGGTACCGGGGATTGAATTCACAACCATGCTCTTGCCAGCAGGTGCTTGTGCTGCTGAGCTAACCCCCGGCCCATCATTTCCCTACTTTTAAAATCCAAGTTGTAAAAGTTGTAATTTTGAAAAGTTTTAGTGCATTTTCCCATAGAATCCATGCTATAAAAGATATTATTAATTTTATTAGTCAAGCCACCATATGCCTCAATCCACAGTAAACAAAACTGTAAGTACTGCCATATTTGAGTGGTTCTTTACTAATTTTCCCTTAAATAAATTGCTTAACCTCTTAAAACTAATGATAATTATTTTTACAGGGCTAAATGTAGTGTTTGGCATATTTGTAGAAGTACCTATTAGAGTTAAATAGTATTAATACTCTCATTTCTTAATACCTTTCTTGTTCCCTCTAGAAATACTATTATTCATTCTAACAACTCTTTGTATTTGCTCTACTATTTCATGACAGTGTTTTTCTTGGCTAATGAAGATACTCATCCACATGCACATGCTGTTTTTCTTTTCCTGACCAGGAGAAATGAAAAGAGTCCTATAATTTGATAAAACTTTCATTAATTGAGAAAAATACAACGTTTTACTCAATATGATATCAAATACATTTTTATCATATCATACTATTTAAACTGATTACTATAGTGGCAGTGAAAATATTTTAAATGCATTTATTTTGGAAATGCTCATCCATGTCTAAAGTACTATATTAGACACTTTATCCAAAGATACTTATTATTACAGGAATGCAGAACAAATGAAAGCTTTTTGGAAATTGTCTGGTATTTCAGAAAAATCAGAAAATGGAGGTAAGTGTGTGAATGTATTTCTGTTTGCAATGTGAAATCACAAAAAATGTATTTCTCTTTCCTTTTCCCTCCTCTCATCTTCCTTCCTTTTCTCTCCCTTTCTTTCCCCCTCTCTCCCATTCCTTCTTTCCCCTTCCACTTATGACTCCTCCCCTCCACTTCTCTTCCCTTCCCTTACCTAGGTGCTGGGTATCAAACTCAGTGTCTCTTACATACCATGCAAGTACTCTACCATTGAGTTATACCCAAAGCCTGATTGCTTTCTTTAAAGGCATTTTTTAAAAAGCTATGTTGACAGTTTATTATGTAGTATTTTAAATTTTATTGTTATAAACATTTGAATGCTTGTGTGTCTGTAATATGATATCTTAAACTCTTTGGGGAAGATACTTAGAAAATAGCTTATCATGTAGCATTTCTAACTTTAGTTATTTGAGAAATCTTCATAAATGATTGTACTAGTTTATATTCCCATCAATATAAGAGGGTTCCTTTTTTACCACAGCCATGTCAACATTTATTATTTTTTGATTTCCTGATGATTGCCAGTCTTTCTGGAGTAAGAGGGAATTTTAGTGTTGTCTTAATTTGCATTTCTACAATGGCATTTCTCCATTTTTTTCACATAATTGTTGACCATTGGTGCTTGTTCTTGGTAATTTCACCTACCTATTTCTTGACTGGGTCTTTAATTTTAGATGGTTTTTATTTTGAGTTCATTATATATTCTGAATACTATTCGTTTATCTGAAGAGAAGCTGGAAATTTTTTTCCCCATTCTTCAGGTTGTCTGGTCACTGTATTTGTTGATTCTTTTGCTGTATAGAAGCTTTTAATCTGATATAGCATTCGTCAGTTCTTGCTGTTATTTCTTATGCAGTTGAAGTTCTGTTTAGAATGTCCTTTCTTACACCTAAGTTTTCAAGTGTTTTACCTATTTTGTCTTCCAGTAAGTTTAATATTTTTGCTTTAAAGTTTCGATCTTTGATCCATTTTTATTTTAATTAATTTATTTTTAATCAGATTTTTAAAAATTTTAATTTAGTACATGTTGAGAAATATCAGCCTGGCTTCACTCTTCCGCAAGCAGCATTTTCATGGAAGTGTTTTCCTGCTTCATGCCTTCAATTCTAGAACTGACCACTAGGTGGAAGTTAATACCTTGGATAAGAATGAACAAGCTTTTTAAAAAAAAAAAAAAAAAGAAATGAACCAGCTAAAATTCAGATATTTTTCCTCTCTAGACCAAAAATGCTTTCTTTGAAAGAAAGAGAACTTGTTTTGTTATTTATAAATAGTATATAAATTCATCTTATATTTAAGTGCCAACATTAATAAAAATACCTAATAAAGTAAATGTAGACTCGTGGAACTATCTATCCCAAGCAGGTAACCTCATAACTAGTTAAAACTGATTTAACACACTATTTAATTCATTCTGTTAGTGATGTCCTCCTGAATCCCAAGAGAAACTGCAGGCTTTAAAAAGCCTCCTGACTAGTCACATCTTGCTAAGAAGAACCTCTGTTTATTTCTCACATTAGAACTAACATCAAGAGCTTCAATTCTATGATTATATTTTAAGGAGAAGCAAGTAACTTGCTCCTTCGTACAAAACCTGAATTTTTTATGTTTATAATGCAAAAGAAAAGTCTGCTAGCTGATTACTCCTAGTATCTCCTCTTACTCAATGTAAAATTAGAACCTAATTCCCAGGACAATCAAATCTTTTAACAGTAGATAATCTCATTTTCTCTTAATTAAAAGATAAACCTCTTGAGTCCTTTTGAATGCCTAATTCACGTCCAGTAATTTCTATCAAATAGAGTTTTTTGTTTTTGCTTTTCAGCGATTTCTTTTTTGAACACTTTTGAGTGTAGCATTGGAAGTTTTTCTAAAATTTATATATAAAGGACCATGAACATATTTGTATTGTCTGTGGCATTTGTACCTATTGTGAAGAATCATATTTTTACTCACTAAGACATAATTTGGGTAAAATAACTAAGCTTATCTGCAGTTTCTTTTTGCTCTTTGATACTTAAAGGTTACTAGTTTTTAGGTGATCAGATGTATTGATTTACACCCTAGCACTATGGCTTTGTGGAAACCATGCTGAAATTCTGAGTTTAAACTGGAAGTAAATCAGAAATCTTACTTGCATTGACAGCTTACAGCTAGCTAGTAAGAGAGAGAATGTTTCCCTATTTAACAGAACAGTACTGTAACTATAAATTCTTAACCAAGAAAGGAACTTATTCTGTCAGTTATAAGACCCAAACCTAACGTATGATTCCTAACCAGATATTTTAATTGTTTCCCTCTACTATTCAGGTATGAGATGTGTCTGTGCAAGGAAGTGGAAAAATCTTAAAAATACGATTTTGATATGGTTAGTCGAGCCTTTGCAAAAAAAAAAAGAAAAAATCCAACTTTACATACTGTAAAATGGAAATCTCTTTTTATTCTGGTGCTATTCCCAGAAAAGGGACAGGATGTAATTCCAAAGTTTAAGGATTGCCAAGGTGTCTGCTTTATGCACATGGTAAACTTTAGACAGAACTGAATTGCTTATTAAGAATGGACAGTGCAGTAATTCCTCTCCATTCTGATGTATGCCACCAGGCACAGTAATATAAGGTGAATTGGAGTGTTATATCTTGTTCCACACTGCCCTGTGTGCCAGACCTCTCTGTAGAGGTTCAGCAACTCTGCCTACCTGTCTTATCAGCAAAACTCCTGTTTTGTAAACTCCTGTTTCTTTCTTACCTCTTGATTCCAACTCCTAGCTATCTTTCAGCGTATCACATTCTTTCTTTTCCTTGGCCCTAGTTCAGGTCCCTTTCTCCTGTTACTTGAAGTCCTAAATTGTTTCATTGATTTGCAGTTTGACTCCTAACTTTTCATCTTGCCCCTCCACTCCCTTTTAGGACACTAGTCAGAGATTCTCTTCTTCTGTATTTTGAGTGACTCCCTATACTTACATTTTAAATTTATCATGGCCTGTTCCATGTTCTCCTGCTGTTCTTTTCTGCTGCTGTTTTCTACTGGGGTCCATTGTCCAGCTATTCTGGTATAGTTGGAGTTATAAATGTGTTGTCGTAGCATAAATCCTTACTCTCTGTATCTATAGTTACTTACGCCTTAAATACATACCATCATCACCAGCACCACTTAAAGCTTCCAACAGAGATCTGTGCTATTGTGCCTACAGCTCTTGAGAACTCCTCCACAGCATTTATTACATTCATTTTTATTATTTTACTATTTATGCCATGCTCTTAGATTGAGGTATGCCACCTAAATGCATGTGTGCGCACATGTGTGTGTGTGTGTGGCATAAAGTCAGACAACTAAAATTTTAAAAAGAAAGGCAAACAGAAAATCAGTAATGTTAACCAGCTTTTCTTGACAGGAGCCCACTTCTCCTTCTCTGCCTATTCCTTCCCTACTCAGCAGGATTTCCGTGTCATCAATTACTTTTTTCTTTTTAATTCAGTTAAACATGCAGAGTCACAAAAAGTAAACATCTCTGAAGATTACTATTAAGTAAAAGAAAAGGTAGATTAAGAATTAAGATTACATACTTAATGAAAATTTAGACTCACTGAATAAAATCTGATTTTGAAATAAACTGTTTACACATCTCATGATTAGCATTTGACTGAAATAATTTAGTGTCTGTGCTCATTTGATTTGGAGTATATTCACCCCCATGTAAGTTATTTTTTTTTTTTCCTTGTAGGTTCTGGATCCCTCAGAGCAAAATTTGATCTTTCAGAAGGCCCCAGTAAACCCACAACACTTGCAGTACAATTTCTCAGCGAGGGAAGTACCCTCTCAGGAGTTGATATTGAACTTGTTGGCAGTGGCTACAGACTTTCCTTAGTAAAGAAGCGATTTGCCACTGGTAAGTTGGGAGGTTTTGAACTTTTAATGTATGTAGGAAACAGTCATATTCTAACAGTTACTAAACAGTTGTCTAGCAGTTCATAATCTAAAGGTATGACAAAAAATTTTTGACTCTTGGTATAAAGTGCCAAATTACAGACACACCTAGTAAGAAGAATTTCCATTGTTGTTATAGCCAGACACCTGTGATATGATTCTAATATACTGTAAACAGCAGGTGGGAACTAGGGTTCTTTGTGATTGAAGTGAGAAATGTGTATTTGAACCAGTAATTGCAAAGGTCTTCTTGATGTTTTTCAGGACGATACTTGGCAGATTGTTGATCAACCTGGGAAAGTGGTGGCTCAAGGGAGTAGTACAAACCTGCCATTCTGCATTACCTGTTCTTTCCAAAACACTATTCTAACTTGTATATGTCTTTCAAACTTAGACATATTTGAGAACTTACTACAAACATTAAATTGCACTTTTAAAGTGAGTCATTCAAAGATATAGCACTGAAATGATTTTTACACTGCAGATGATCAGATGCAATATTCAGGAAGCACATTTCTTTATATTCTCAATAAAAATGAAGTTTTTATAAGCTGAAATTTTAAATTCGGTGTCTATATTGAAGAAAGGGGATTATAATGTAATATCAAACCTAAAATTTCAGGAGAGCAAGCACAAAATTGTTAGCTTTCCATAAATTTTTAGAGTCAGAAATAGTTTTGAGATTTCATAAGTTTGATATTGAATGGATACAAACAATGTGAATTCTAAGGTTTAGATATGTTGACTCAGCACTCAATCAGATTGAGTTATGTGCCATAAATTAATCAGAACAGAGTATGTGTGGTATACAAAAAAATGTATAATTTGATTCTCATATTAATAAAGTGTAAATGGTGTTTTATATGATTTTTAAAAAAATTCTCAAGTGCAATGTGTTTTCAAATAAGCTTGCAAAAGACAGCAGAGAATTTACTTCTGCAGTTAATTAATTTTATAGAAGTTGTGATTGTTTTGATGAATTAATGCTGTAGATTTAATTTATTTTTATATGGATTGCGTAATATGTGCCTTTTAAAACAGTAACAGAAGCCAGAAATGTGCCTGTCTCGTTTGTGTTCATTAATGTGCCTCACTTTTTTTCTCATAGTCTACAGTTTCTATTCAGAATCTTATAGTGGTCTAATAGTTTTCGCAGGATATTTACAATTTTTGTGAATACTTTTGGCCTGCAATTGGGAAGGGAATTGAAAATAGCTAAAGGATAATTTAAGAACCAAGACTCGCTTCTTTAGTGATACACTGCAGCCACAAAAAAGAGAAATAAGCCTAATGGAGTATGTTTACTGGTGAAAAAAATTACCTTCATATATTTGACATTAACCTCACCAAAAGTAAATTAAACTCATAAATTCTGAAAAATTGTGATGGCAAATTAGTAACTGATATTTAAACTCTCGATTTACCTTTTCCCTTGTCTTTGTTTACCATTGAAAATTTATACATTTATTTACTAATTACATTGTGAAACATGAGTTCTGTAGTATTTTATGAGGAATACATTTTTTAAAAAGATTAATTTTGGCAACGGGGGAGAAGTACTATTAAGTACTTATTTCAACAGTTAATTATCAATTCATGTGTTTTTGTAGTTACTCAATTCCTACATGATAAATTATTTAAAATGATAGATTGATCTTTAGCATTTCTTAAAATGGGCTGCACATTCTAAATAGTGTGAAACCTAACTTGGTAGCAAATTCTGGTTAATCGAAGAAATGACATGTTATAGGAAAAGTTTTGTAATCCACAGGTGCAAATTATTTATGATGATAAATACCAGTTTCCTTCATTTTGCATAGTTGAAGTGATAACTTGTGCTATATAAGATAATTTATATAAACCACTAATTGTTCTGTTGAGCCTTACAGAAAATAGAACCCCTATTCCTAGACATTTATATAATGTCTTGCTATAGTAAATATAGCAGAAAACTCACTCCTTCCCAATATATAACACAGCATGTGTATTTTTATATATTCAGCATTAGCCCAGTTCTAAATTTAGATTTGACTAAAACAGTACCTAAACCAGTTTTCTAAAATGTTAGTCTTTACTGAATAGCAAATTTAGAATTTCTAACTCTTACATTATTGTCTTTTAAATGCCAATCACAAACTTTACTGGAATTTTAACTGTAAATCTACTTTGCAATCACACTGCTTTTATTGGATAGTTATTTTTTTCTTGGAAATCAGACACTATTACATTCACCATGTTTTTTTAAATCAAGTATTACCTAAAAAAGTACAAATTAGTGAAATGGTTATACTTCTGCACTTTGTTAATTACCAGTCTTCATACCAAGTGTTGATACAGAAATTTATATTGGATACAGGTTACAATTTTGAAGCCATATGAGTTTTATTGAATTTTTTTTCACTTAAAAATTCACTAATGGTATGTAAAAAGACCAGTAGATTTTCAGTGGGAAATGTATCTAGCAAGCTGGTTCTTGCTTATGTGTAGTAATAAAACTTTGTAGCTATCTCTTTAACCAAGAATTTGTAAACACAGAACTCTTAACAAATGTTTTTAGGGATTATTTACTACTCTGGGTTGTAATTAGAACAATGCACATCTATCTTCCAAAATTTTGTAAATATTTTTGATTTTTTCATAAAATGTAAATTTTACATAAAAGTTGTACCCTAATAAACATGTAATATATAATTTATCATTTGGCGTATGTGTCTTGTATGACTGTTGATAGCTGATGTGTGTTGTTGGCTTTAGGACAGTGCAATCTGGGCAAGAAATGAATAACTGGGGTTGAACTTTATACCTGTGACAGATTGAACTGTCATTAGTTACAGAGAAAATTTCATTGGAGTATGTTTGTAAAATACTGAAATTATTTTTCAGGGGCTCATTTTACACATATTTAAATTGATGTTATGCTTTAACAGAGACTTTCTTCTTGACACAATTTAAAAATCATAGTTCCAAAGATGTAGTCAAGACTATCAAGCCAGGACAGTGGATTTAAAGGGAAGCAAAAAAAGGAAAAATAAGAATTTTTAAAAATTTATTTTAAAGAGGGTAAAATAAAACAGAACAAAGTAGATCAGAAGAAAACTGTAACACAGATTTCAAAGCAAGACAACAAGAGGTCAGCAGTGGCTACCATAGTGTCTCTTGTTTTCTTCTAAACAGTTGTTCTCTTTCTTCACACAATGAATTCATACAAAACAAAATAGTATAAAACTGATCAAAACAGAATAATCAAGGCATTACAGATCTTCAAAACTAGACAGTAAGAAAATCAATGGCTACCATAATGTCTCTTGTTCACTTCAAAATAGTTGTGCATACCTTCATGTATGTTGAATAATACACAACAGACTAAAACCACTATAAACAAAGAATAAAAGCATTACTAGATTTCACAGCATGACAATAGGAAATCAGCAATGACTACCATAATGTCTGTTTTTCTTTAAAGTAGTTATTAATTTCATCACGCATAATACAGTCGGTTCTCATGAACTGTTTAGAAGTTCTAGGCATATATAAGCCTCTACATGTATACCTGTTCTTTCTGCATTCGAGGGAAAAACAAAAACAAATTACTAGAGAAACAAGAAAGACAACAATAGCAAACAGCCCAAAACTGTGATGATATAGGCCTTCAAAACAAGGTGGCAGGAACATAACCGAGGTTGTTATTTTACATTGTGATCTTTGAAAGAATTCCTCAGATCATCAGACACAAACATGCAGAATTGTCCCAGTCCTATGAATGTTAACTGTTTTGTTCCAAGAACTAATAGAATTTGTAGCACAATCATCTTAGCTATCTTAAGTATGTTTATACAAATTTAGACGTATTTTCTTTTCTCTTCCTTTTTTTCTCCTTTTCCTTGAGATACTATTTTTCCCCTTTGAGCTGAATCTTACCCTTTAGCAGTTTTATTGAGTATTTTGTATCTTATGTACTCTTACCATTTCTTACACTAGGGAGGCAATACAGTATTTACACATGTGAGTTTGATTTATTTCACTTATGAATATGGTCTCAAGTTGCATCCATTTACTTATGAAAATCTCAATGTGAACATTCTTTGTATTCTTTGTAGTCCTCCTTTGTTTAAAAGTACCACATCTTTTTTATCTATTCTTCAGTTGATGGGCATTTAGGTTGTTTCCAAGATCTGGATATTACAAATTGTACTGCTATAAACATGGATGCATGTATATCACTGTGATACAATGTTTTCAGTTCTGGGAATATGCCCAGAAGTGGAATAGCTGGGTCAAATGGGACTTCCAATCCCAGCTTTTTGAGGAACCTCCAGACTAACCTCCACAGTGGTTGCACCAGTCTACACTCCCACCAACAGTGCAGGAGCGCTCCTTTTTCCCTGCAGCCTCTCCAGCATTTGTTGTTGGTAGTTTACTTTATCCTGGCCATTCTTTGTAGTGAGATGGAATCTCAGTGTGGTTTTAATTTACATCTCTAATGACTAATGATGCTGAATCTTTTTTCATGTATTTGGCATTTGTATTTTTTCATCTGAGAACTGTGCCTTCATCTCAAATGCCCATTTTTGGATTGGGTCTTTGAATGTCAGAGGTCTGGTTTTTTTTTTTTGTTTGTTTGTTTGTTTTAATTCTTTATATGTTCTAGACAGAAGTCTTTTGAGGGACAGTTGACTTAAGATTTTTTCAAAATTCATGGGTTTCCTTTTTATCCTGTTGGAGATTTCTTTTGACATGCAAAAACTTTTTAATAAGACAAGATCCCAGTTACTGATTCTGGAAAGTATTTCCCATGCAGTTTAATTTTTGTTCATGAATTCTCTGCCTACCTCTATGTCTTCAGGATTACTGCATACTTTGTCTTCTAGCAGATTTAGTGTTTCTGTTTTAATATTTAGATCTTTGATCCATTTTGACTTTAGTACATGGTGATAGACATGGGTCTAGTTTCAGTTTTTGGCATATGGAGAGCCAGTTTTTAAAGAGGCTATCTTTCTTCCAGTGAACATGTTTGGCCCATTTATCAAAGATAAGGTGGCTCAGTGTGTTTGTAGTTGTGTTTGCATCTTCTGATTTGTTCTATTGATCCTCAGGTCTATTTCTTTGCCAGTACCATGCTGATTTTATCACTGCAGCTTTGTAGTATAACTTCCAAGTCAGGGATTGTGATGCCACCTGCCTTGCCTTTGTTGCCCAGAATTGCCTTTGCTATTCTAGGCCATTTCTGGTTCAAGATGAATTTTAGGAATGATTTCTCTACATCTGTGAGTAGTGGTATTTTGATTGGAATTGTATTAAATCTGTATAATAATTTGTATTTGATTGGAATTGTATTAAATCTGTATAACAATTTTGGGACAATGACCATTTTCAGAATATTTGTTATTCCTGACCATGAACAAGGAATGTCTCCATTTTTTGAGATCCTCTTCAGTTTCTTTTTTCAGGGTATTATAATTTTCTTTTCTTTTTTTTTTTAAATTTTATTTAAGGAGAAAAAAGGGTACAAGTTATACAGAATTTCAGAAAAAAACAGTAGGAAATCACTAATTAACTATATATTGTCGTCTTAGAAATAGTTGTTGAGGGGGCTGGAGATTTAGCTTAGCAGCATAAGCACCTGCCTTGCAAGCAGGCAGTCATGAGTTTGATCCCCGGTACCGATAAAAAATGAAAAAAAGACAAAAAAAAAAAAAAAAGAAAAAGAAATAGTTGTTGAAGTTACAAAATTAAAGCATATAGAGAAGACTTTCAAACAGTAAGACTGCAAACAGTTTTGTTCAATGATCCAGCAAAACTCAGTAATATGGTTATCTATCTTATACACTTAAATATATATGCAGTTATATCTTTTAGAGAACTTTCTTTTTCTTTCTTTTGTACAATGACAATTACACATTTTGGGTTTTATTACTCCCACAGTTTTTTTTTTTTTTTTTGTCTTTTTCATTTTTATTGGTACCAGGGATCGAACTCACGACTGCCTGCTTGCAAGGCAGGTGCTTATGCCGCTGAGCTAAATCCCCAGCCGCACTCCCACAGTTCTTATTACTTTTTTTTTTTTTTTGAAGAAAGTAAAACCAAATGTGACATACCAGGACAGAGTCAGTCAAATCAAAAGGATGGACATAATACATAATGTAAAAACAAAATACAAGGTGATCAACAATGGTTACCATAATGCCTCTTGTTATCTTAAAAAGAATTACCTATATAACAGTTATAATAAAATTGAAAAAAACAGTAAAGAATAAGACCAATAAAACCAAAACATTGGAGACATTAGAGCACTTCAAAAGAAGATAATAGTCAACCAGAATGGGTGTCACAATGAATCTTATTGTCTTCATAGTTGTTGCCTATACTTTCAAACTTGGTACTATCTAGCATAACAGAATAGAGGAAAATCAGTCAAAACAAGATGGTGAGAGCAATACTGGATTTCAAGTCAAGTTAATCGGAAATCAAAGTGGGTTACTATAATATATCCTGCTATTTTTATTTATTTTTCCCTTAATTAAAAGGATAAAAATGAAAAATAGATAATAAAAAGGAGATTGAGATAAAAAAGAGGGCATAACAACAAAACAGCGCAGGTCAAAACATTGCCATTTAAGCAAAATAGTGTTTCACCACAAGATAATCTCGACATAATAGTAGTTACCATACTGTCTCTTCCCTTAAAATCTTTGGATATAACTTCGTATACTGTAGCATCAAACATATCAAGACAGTGTAAAACCGTTCAAGAGAATGACAGTATTACAGGGTATTTAGAATCAACTAACAGAAAATGAACAATGGTTTATGTATAATCTCCTTGTCTAAAATTTTTTGTTTATATTATCACATTAATAAAATCCAATAAGATACAACACGTTAAAACCGATGGAGACAGAAGAACAAAAGCTTGATGGGACTTCAAAACAAGAGGATATTAAATCTTGTTTTCTCCAAAATGGCTGTTCCTACCATCCAACCTTCTCTGCCTCATGTCTGTTGAGCTCTTTTTCTGTCATTAGTTGTCAGTTTGTCTTCTTCATTTCGCTTTCTGCTCCATTCATTGTGGCCTCTCTGCCACTGTTTCTGGAATCTTGGTATTTTTCATTTTTAGAATATCCTGCAGTAATCTCTGTAGAGTTGAATTGGTGGTTGCAAATTCCCCTAGTTCCTCTTTATCCTGGAAGCACCTTGTTTTTCCATCAATTTCTAGGGACAGTTGTGCAGTATATATCAATCTTGGCTGGAGGTTATTATCTTTCAAAGCTTGAATGATTTCCCCCCACACTCTTCGTGATTTAATGGTTTGTGCCGAGAAGTCTGCTGTAATTCTGATGGGTGTTCCCTTGTAAGTGATCTGTTTCTTGTCTCTGATGGCTTTTAATATTCTGTTCTTATATTGGGTTTCTGGAATTTTGATTATTATATGCCTGGGTGTATTAGTATATGTTTGGGTTGTAGGTGGCTGGGGTCCTGTATGCCTCATACATGAGTGTCTTTACCTTTTGCTAAATTAGGGAAATTCTCCTGGATTATTTCTGTGAATAGCTTTTGTAATTCATTTGTTTGAGTCCCTACTTCTTCTTTTATGTTCTTAATTCTTAAGTTATAGATCCTCTTATCATCTTCTAGTCTTTGTATTATTGCTGTTTGTTTTCTTGTTATTTTTAAGAAGTTTTTCATTTCATGCTCCCA